ATATTGCAAATAAGCTTCAGCTCTGCTGAAATGAAGTATGTATGCGAACTTGTTATTTGGCATAAATAAATAAATTTAAAATATATAAAAATAAATTGACTCATATAAATATGCCCAGGGGAAGCCGTTAGATGTGGGCGTATTAAGCAAAGATAATTTCATTTTTATTGACTTCAGTGATTAGTAGATTTTACTCTCCTCCCTGTCCTGCATGTCCACTTGCCCTGAATTAAATTTGTTCCATAGAAGTTGGCTGTTTTCCGCATTTCTGAGAATTATTTTCACATACAATCAATCGCAATGGGGTTGCGAAAGGCAACAATGAATTGCATTTTTTTGTATTCCTCTTCAAAGTGGATAAAAAGGGTATATTGAGATTGTTCGAAAATAGTTCGAAGCCCAATAATTATTCGTAGATGTCATGGCAAGGAACAAAATAAAATGAAATATTCTCAAAATAGAAAATACTGCTTCAAAATGAATACGTATAAAAAGTACCCAGAAATAAATATTGTTGAGCAACTAGAAAACACAGATTGAATTAACCAAAAGGTAGTTGCGTATTAAAAAGATTACCATTGGCAAGCCTAATATGTAACAGGGTATCTGCTAGTCGAGCTCTCTTTGGACTCGAGCATTCTTACTTGTTTCCAACTAAGTCATACCTTGCACTTAAGTAGCCTCTCACCTGGGGGATGGATACCTTCTTGCTTTGGACTTCCGTTATGATATTGAATGAGTTCGTTGACTTGTTTATGTACACGCCCCACCCGTCTCCCCCCTCGAACAACCATTAATAAGTGTGGTTTATATTCTTTAATGAATTTCCGTTGTATTAAAAAAATCAATAGGAAACGTGTGAATAATTTGCTGTTGAAACTTTCGTGCGTCGATCGTAGCAAACATTAATATAAATTAATAGAAACTCGACAATGACAAGATAAAAATAAATTCACGAGTACACAAGTTCACAAAGAAGAAAAAACGAACGCCGGAGCAGGAGCAGAACCGGAGCAGAAGGAGCGAGAGTGAACCATGTCAACATGACAGATAATAATCAAAAGAATAACAGCTACAATAATGGCAGCAACAATAATAACAATCCCAATCACAATACCCATTCCCATTCCCATGCAAATGCCACAACGAGTCGTGCAGCTGCCACAAGTGATGATGGTGGTGGTGCATTCCAGTTGATGTATTCGGTGCCACAACAGTTGCAACATTGGTGCAAGCAATGCGTCCGCAAGTTGCGTGGTCAAATGTTGCGACACACAGCTGCAACGGGGCCGGGACCGGGTCGCTTTGTGTCCCATGCGGGCACCAGTACGGGATTAGTTGGTGGTAATCCCAACTCTCAGGCGGATGGTGATGCAACGGGCAGCAGTTTGGAGGCAACTCAAGTGGATGGTGGCGGATTTCGGCCACGGCGACTCCAGAGTGGGGATGAGGAGCGGGCCAACAAGTCACAGGCCACAGGCTGGTTTAAGGCCAAGCGGCGAAAATATATGGAAAAGGCCGGTTTTCGAAAACCACCCTGCAAAGGTCTATATGCACTTTTATCTAACTATCTATCTATCTATATATGTATATACATTTACTATATTTGTTGATTGTTCTATGTATGCGATGAAAGAGAAAGAGATAGGAGCAGGGAGAGATAACTAAAGGGAACTGGAAAGAGAGAGGGAGGTAGATCGAGAGAATTATTTACTCAATGATAACTGCCACAAGATTAATCTTGAAATGAGCAGTTGCTCATTATAAATATATATCAGTCTTTATATTTATCTGTATCCATTTTTAACGTTGAAAGTTGATAATTAACTTGCCAGGTTTGGTTTATTAACGTTATAATTATTACGTGATATCTGCTAGTCGTGCAGTATTAAACTATCGACATACTCCAGCTTATATTATAATATAATGCTTATATTGGTCCCATATGGGCTGAGCCTGAAACTGCACTCAAATTCTAAATGCCATCCAGGGAAACTAACTAAAAGCGGCACTTTGCTATTGACACATATACAACAACAACATACACATGTGTGTGTGTGTGTATGTATATATGTGTGTGTGTATGTATGTATGTACTCGTATGTATGTATGTATGTCTATGTGGAACACACCCTAAAGGACACAAATCAGTAAGCAGCAATCGTTTCCTTCTTAGTGTTGTCGTTGTGCCTACACTGAGACAAAAATAAGTTAAACATTTTGTAGTTTGAGTACTCAAGTTCTTAAATCAAACAATTTCTCAATTGAAAACAAGTTGATATTGCTTGAATCGAGAATTTGGTAACGAGGTAATATTTAGTAGTATTTTAGTTGTTATTCTATATGCGCAAGTTCTTGAACCAAAATATAAAACTAAAAATATATAAATATTTAGCAGTCCTTTAAATTATTAAATACATTTAATGAATAAAGACTGATTATAGTGAAACATTGGGAATAATTTGAATTTCTACATAAAACAAGTGTGAAAAGCAATAAGAATCCGACTTTTCTCTCAGTGCTTTTGAGCAATTTTGCACTCATTATTATTTGGCCCACCTTTTTGGCATTTGTGTGTGCTACCATTTGCTGCTGCCACCAGCCCCTGCGTGCGACGACAAATAGTACTCACCACACACACAGCACACACATAACACACACATACACACACCAGCACACACACCTATAACGGTTTCAGTTGCCACAGCAAGCTGCTGGAGAGCAGTCAACGTTCAACACGCAACACGGCGCAGCAAAGCAAATGTGGCCCAGAAAATAAATGCAATTAACAGTGTTAACAGAGGAGTGTGTGTGTTTGTGTGTGTTGTGTGTGTGCTTTGTGCACATATTTTTAGCAATGACTGTTAGCATTTAACATTAAGTGCTAATCGTTTTTGTTTCGAGTCGGAATTATAATAAGTCGAGTGCATTTTTACCTCGTCTGTGACAAATCGATAATGCGCACTTTTTGACGACGCAGCTTTGAACTCTTGTTAAGTATTCTTTCAACAGTTTCAAGTGAAGTTCGCTTTTAACTAAAATATAGAACAAATGTGCATTAATTAACTAAAAATTCGTTGTGTGAAAACTAGATGAAAATTCTCGTTGGGGAAAATGTCAAAGTTGATTCAATTTGAGGGGAGTATGGCATACAAACGTGGAAATGTGTCGCTAATTGAGAGCGCAGGCGCTGTCGATGTGTATGTGAAGAAGCAACTTGTACGCCAAATGCCACGCCCACTTGTGGCTTGTTGTGGCCAGTAAATCAAGCTGGGGGGCGGCATATTCAAGAGACACCACGCACCAGCAGGAGCAGGAGCAGCAGCAGCAGTCGCAGCTAGAGAAAGGGAGAGCATCGCTTTTCAAGCCATCAGCTCGGAGCAGGAGCAGGCGGAGGTGGAGGCGGAGCTGGAGGCGGACGAGGAAGAGGAGCTGGTCACCAGACTAAACCAGGAGGCGGTGACGACAGCGAGGGTGGGGGAAGTGTTTCAGGAATCGCATTTAATGGCTGATATCGATATCGATAACGCCCCAAATCGATTGCACAACGTGACCAGGCGTCGCTTCCGCTTGCATCGACGAACCCGGCCGTGCAATCTCCGGCGTTTCCCCAGAATGAACTTCAGCAATGTCTACAGAGCATTGCGTATCCGTTGGAGTCGTAAGTTGTCCAGTCGAGAGAGAGAGAGAGAGAGAGAGAGAGAGAGAGAGCGTGACTCAGAGAGTACTCGGGCAAAAAAATCGGGACATGAAATTTAGAAAAGTTTTTCTTGGTTTTAAAAATAATTTCTAAATATAAGAAAACAAATTTATCAATATGAAAAAGGTTCTTAATCTATAATCCCACAAAACATGATTTTCTTTTATTATTTTAAAAATATTTTCTATTATTAAGAAAATCATATCTAAAAAGTAGAAATGCAAAAACTGCACTTTCAGCAAAAAAATACTTTAAACAAATTCAGAAACATACAATTAAATTTAATGGCTCGGCTTTAATATTAGAATTTAGCTGTTGAGTGCCATTTTTTCTTAGTATACTCTGTAATCAGCTGCTAAATACTGTTATTACTGATACTAAAATTAGTTTGATCAATATGAACATAAGTTTTGCACAATGAAATTATTATAGTTGTTCAAGTAAAAATCCAACAATTCATTTTACTGGAAATGTTTTGCACAGTTGCCTCTTAGTTTTTCATGGAATTAATCCTTAACTATTTCATTAGTTAAAATTGAATCCGAGAGTGCTTAGAAAAACTGTATTCAAAATTGGGTTACTCAAAGTTTTGCCCCGTTTAATGCCAAGATGTTTGTCGGCTGCATAATTGCTGATCCCGTCGTGGAGATGAACCGACTGGTCAAGGAGCACAGTTTGATACCCGATGTGATTGCCTGCCAGCCCCAATTGGTGATCAATATACTCTATCAGTGCTTTACGGAAGTGCAGCCGGGCAGACATTTGAGTCCGTTGAGCGTCAGCCGTGAGCCAATTATACGCTGGCTGTCAGATCCGAATAAATTGCACACGCTGGCCATGATTGATCCGGATGCGCCGAGTCGCAGTGAGCCCAGTTACCGGGAGTGGCTCCACTGGCTGGTGGGCAACATACCCGGCTGTGATGTTGTCCATGGCCAGCAATTGGCCGCCTATGTCGGGAGTCGTCCACCCCCCAATACGGGTCAGCATCGTTATGTGTTCCTCGTCTTTCAGCAGTTCTGCCAGCTGGACTTTGATGAGCAGTTTATTCCGGCGGATAGTTATGAGGCACGACGGGGTTTCAGCATTAAAAAATTTGCCGCAAAATATGCGCTGGGCAAACCAAAAGCATTGAATTTCTTTCTATCCAACTGGGAGGAGAATGATTTCTATTGAGTGATCAAATAAAAATTAAAAGTTTATCTTTTTTTTTTGTCTATTTATAGTAGCAATTATAATTATCAATCGAATGATTCAATTTGTTGATATTTTATTAACAGCTTTGTGTTATTTATTGTAGATGACGACGAGATTCCACCCTTTGGCGCCTACGAAGCAGATGATGGGGACAGACGCGTCATAGCCCTCAACTCGCAACAGCCATCCAAATATTGCAATAATCGTATATCAACGGCTAAATATAAGTGAGCTTACTTTTTTCAATATTGATTAATTTGCATTCATTTGCCTGATAAGATATCATCTGACATATGACATATACAGTTGCGGTCAGAATAATAGTTGTCTATACAATAATAATTGTTTTCATAGCTCCTATCATAATCCATTCGATGCCTTTATTCTTCGATATCTGCTCACAAGCCTTTCATTTTATTTCAAGAGCATTCCATTTCTTTCAATGATTACCTATCTGAATCAGTGATTGTGTTGTGTTCAAATCAAATTTCGCCTATTTTGGACAATATTTGAACGATTGTGTTGACCGCAGCTGTATGTTGGCATTGAGCTTAACACTAATTGATTTCTAATAATTTTGCCATTTACCTATTTTTTCAGTGTCCTCACCTTTGTGCCGTCGTTCCTCTTCGAGCAGTTTCGACGATATTCCAATATATTTTTCCTACTAATTGCATTACTACAACAAATTCCGGATGTGTCGCCAACGGGTCGCTACACCACATTGGTGCCACTGTTATTTATACTCTCCGTCAGCGCCATCAAGGAGATTATCGAGGATATTGTAAGTATTGTGAATGTGTGTCTGCACTCAGAAAAATACGCACTGAATTTGGCAAAATCTGTCTACTAACTAGAATGTGGATAAATGATGTACATTTATGAACTATCTTTTTTCTGAGTGTATATATTTGAAATTATCTATGAATTTGTGCACGTTGTTTTTTAGAAACGTCATCGTGCTGATAATGAAATCAATCATCGTTTGATTGAACGCCTGGAGAATGGCACTTGGAGGACTGTGCGCTGGTGCGAGCTGGTCGTGGGCGATATTATAAAGGTGGTCATCGACACATTCTTTCCGGCCGATCTAATACTCTTATCATCCAGGTAGGCTTATGCTCTAGATATTAATTACCATATATCTAAAATTGTGTGTGTTTGTGCTTTTAGTGAGCCACAAGCGATGTGCTTCATTGAAACGGCCAATCTGGATGGGGAGACGAACCTGAAGATTCGCCAGGGAATGCCGTCGACAGCCAAACTATTGGAAACAAAAGACTTGATGCAATTGCAGGGCAGAATCGAATGTGAATTGCCCAATCGACAGCTGTACGAGTTCAGTGGCGTTCTCAAGGAGTATGGCAAACCGTAAGTTGACAAATATAGCGAAGACATGAGCCTCTTTAGAGACAGCTCTGAGTTGATAACAGTGCTATTTTTTTAAATATAATATATATATTCCAATATAAACTTTACTCTCTCTCTATATCCGATCTGCAGTCTTGTTCCGCTTGGACCGGATCAGGTGTTGCAACGTGGCGCGATGCTGCGCAATACGGCCTGGATCTTTGGCGTTGTCATCTACACGGGACACGAGACGAAGCTGATGAAGAACTCGACAAAGGCGCCGCTGAAGCGATCCACCGTCGACAAGCTGACCAATACACAGATCCTGATGCTCTTCATGATACTGATCACGCTCTGCATCACCAGTGGACTGTGCAATTTGTTTTGGACACAAAAACATTCCGATTCCGATTGGTATCTGGGCATTGGGGACTTCAAGAGCATGAGCCTGGGCTACAATCTGCTTACGTTCTTTATTCTATATAATAATCTGATACCGATATCGTTGCAAGTCACGTTGGAGCTGGTGCGTTTCCTACAGGCGCTCTTCATCAACTACGATATCGAGATGTATCACGAGGAATCCAATATGCCGGCCAGTGCACGTACCTCCAATCTGAACGAGGAACTCGGCCTGATCAAGTACATCTTCTCGGATAAGACGGGTACTTTAACCCGCAATGTGATGGTCTTCAAGAAGTGTTCGATAGCACGACGTATCTATAAACCGGAGCGTACACCGGAGGAATCTGAACTGGTGCAAAATATACTCCGGCGACATGATTCCTCTGCTGATATTGAAGAGTTTCTCGTCCTCTTATCCGTGTGCCACACCGTTATACCCGAGAAGAAGGAGGATGGCAGCATCATCTATCATGCCGCCAGTCCGGATGAGCGGGCGCTCGTCGATGGCGCCCGACAATTTGGCTATATTTTCGATACCCGTACGCCAGAGTATGTGGAGATTAATGCGTTGGGTGAACGCCGACGCTTTCAGATACTAAATGTACTCGAGTTCACGTCGACCCGCAAGCGAATGTCCGTCATTGTGCGCACGCCGGAGGGACGCATTAAGTTGTTCACGAAAGGGGCGGATACGGTGATCTATGAGCGTTTGTCGCCGCGTCAACAGGCCTACGGAGAGATGACGTTGCAGCATTTAGAGGAATTCGCCTCGGAAGGATTGCGTACTCTGTGCCTGGCTGTGGCCGACATCGATGATGAGGTGTACGAGGAATGGTCGAGCACCTATCACAAGGCAACGGTCGCCCTATCATTTCGCGAGAGTAAAATTCATGATGCAGCCAATCTGATTGAATCCAATCTTCGCTTATTGGGCGCCACAGCGATTGAGGATAAACTGCAGGATGGTGTGCCAGAAACGATTGCCGCACTGCTCGAGGCGGGCATTTATATTTGGGTGTTGACCGGCGATAAACAGGAGACGGCCATTAATATTGGCTACTCGTGCAAGCTCATCTCGCACTCCATGGACATTATCATACTCAACGAGGGCAGCTTGGATGTGAGTTCAACAATGTTTATATACACATCTGGACAGTTCAATTGCTGTAAATGCTTTTTTAGTTCATTTAATATGAAAAGGAATCCTTTACATTTTGTTCGGCTTTCTTTAAGCATCGTTCCCAATATTATTTAATATATTGTTGTTTTTTCAGGCCACCCGCGATGCCATCTTGCGGCATTGTGGCGAATTCAAGAGCACCATGGCCAAGGATGCAAACGTGGCACTGGTCATCGATGGCAAGACCTTAAAGTATGCGCTGACCTGTGATTTGCGTGGTGATTTCCAGGAATTGTGTCTAATCTGTCGCGTCGTCATCTGTTGCCGTGTGTCGCCCATGCAAAAGGCCGAAGTCGTCGACATGGTCACGCATAGTACAAAGGCGGTCACACTCGCAATTGGAGATGGAGCCAATGATGTGGCTATGATCCAGAAGGCCAGTGTTGGCATTGGCATCTCGGGTGTGGAGGGTTTGCAGGCGGCATGCGCCTCCGATTATTCAATTGCCCAGTTTCGTTATTTGCGTCGCTTGATTCTCGTCCATGGCGCCTGGAACTATGCGCGGATCAGCAAACTAATCCTCTATAGCTTTTACAAGAATGTCTGCTTGTATGTCATTGAACTGTGGTTCGCAGTCTACTCGGGCTGGTCGGGACAAATCCTGTTCGAGCGCTGGACAATTGGTCTTTACAATGTGCTGTTCACAGCGATGCCACCATTTGCCATCGGGCTCTTTGAGAAGTTCTGCACGGCGGACACGATGCTGAAGTATCCGTTCTTGTACAAACCATCGCAGAATGCCAAATTGTTTAATGTGAAAGTGTTCTGGATCTGGATATTTAATGCCCTGCTGCACTCCGTATTCCTCTTCTGGCTGCCGTTGTTCGCCTTCCAGGACGAGGTGATTTGGGCGGATGGCAAAACCAGTGATTATCTACTGCTCGGCAATATGGTTTATACGGTTAGTTGATTGACTTATAGTCGATTTCACGTGTTTATATATACCCTGACATATCCCATATATATAAATAATTAAAAACTTCTCTCTCTTTTTGTAGTATGTCATAATAACTGTCTGCTTGAAGGCTGGCCTGATAACGAGCTCGTGGACCTGGTTAACGCATGCCGCCATTTGGGGTTCGATAGTGCTCTGGTTCCTGTTTGTTGTAGTCTATAGCCACTTTTGGCCAACGTTGGCGTTTGCAAGCAACTTTGCCGGCATGGATATCCAGATGCTGTCGACGCCTGTCTTTTGGCTGGGCCTGATCCTGGTGCCCATTACCAGTCTGCTCATTGATGTGATCTGTAAACTGTATGTTGAAATGTTCTGATTGCTACTCGAGTCTATATCTAATCACTACTTACTTTTTGTTGCAGTGTACACAATACAGTTTTTAAGACACTGACCGAAGCGGTGCGGGAATCGGAAATTCAGCGCAACGATCTCTCCCAGGTGATGGAAGAGTCGCGCTCCTCGTAAGTAATCCGTTAAACTGATCTATTCTGAAAACACACACTGACACACGCACATACTCACACAGAGATTGTGCAATTTGCATTACTTCTGGGTTTGCCTTTCAATTGGTTTAACTACGAATTGGCAGCAAAACCTGAGCAAAAAACGATAAAGAAAACAAACAAAGAAAAACAAAAACCAAAAAAATATTCTATGCTACATTTTCAATTTGAATTGTTGCGCATTTGTTTTAAACTATTCTTTAGTAGAATTTGTTAAGTTTTCACTTGTATTTAGCACGGACCGTTTTGCAATTTATATTTATTGTTTATTGTTAAACAAATGATCACTTGCCGGTCCCTGCTTTATATATAGATTTAATCTGCATTCTTTCGTTTTGTATTTGTCTGTTGCACAATTATTTAATCTAGCTAAATTGCAAATTAGTTCATTACGCATTTTATACCCCAAATCACAACTAATTTAAGTCCTGTGTAACTCTGTTTCAATTGTGTTTGTTTAAATCTGATATGTGTAATTGCTTCACCTACTTTTTATCTTGTTTTTAATGTGTGTGTTTAAATTTCACTTAATTGCCTAACCAATGAAATTGTTCATACTAAAAAACATCACGAGCGTCTAGAAATGTAGTTGCAACAATCAGCGGCAAGAGTATAATTTAAAAAAAGACATGCAAAAAACAAATACTACTCCACTTAGAGCAACGAATACATACACTATATATAATTTATATATATATATCTACTTTGAGCCATGCTAAATGAAAAACACAGCAGGTCTAAATTAACTATAAGGCAATCATGGATTTGCAAGGCCCCATTCCCAATAGGTCAATATATATATAGTCTTTACTTTAAGCATTAGCTTGTACACACGTATGAAAAAAGCACAGGGTATTTCATAGTCATATATTTTATTGTCATCAGTATTAGTAGCTAATAACAGTTCATTTTGAGAACAACACAAAACAACACGATATAAAAAAATTGTTTGAACTGAATTACGTATTTATTGAGTCATCAAAAATATTTATTAACAAAATAATAAAAATCGATAAAATTGTTTACAATTAGATTTGTTGGTTTTTAGTAGATTATTATTATTATAGTTATTTTGTGTTGATTTGTTTTTTGGTAGCAAAAACATTGCATTGAAATAAACAAACACAATTCTATACAAATAGCAGGCGAAAATTAAATTATTGATATTCAGAAAATGTGCCTTCATCAAGTTTAACTATTGTTGTAATTTCAATAATCATTTAACGTATATACTTAGCAACAATCATTTTGAAAACCAAAACCTGAACCAAAACAAAAACAAGCATTTTCTTTATGCTCTAATCTCCACACTATTTATATTAACAACAAATTAACTGCATCTGAAAATAATAATAAAAGACAAACACATTAACTAATGCCTTAAAATCGAATTGCGTATACGCATTGTAATCCAATCCCTAACCACCTCCAACTCATGCTGATGAATGCAAATAATGTAGCCGCTCGGGTTATAAGCCAGATATGGGCAATCAGAAACTAGTATCACGTCATCGTTTCAATCCGGCTCAGGCCAAAGGATATGCCGCGGATCCCAATTCCGGTCGAAGATTGCGAGTGGAGCATCTGGATTTGGAGGAGGATGCCACAATGGTGCAGCGGCAGCAGCAGCAGCAATATCAGCGACGCAGCAGGCAACGCTGGCGCAGTGGTGGCTCCCAAGTTGGCACTGAAATCCTTCACATGTAGACGAGAATTTATTGTTTTCTTTTAACTATGTCTTAAAAATCAAAAATATATATATATCTATTTATTTATATTTAATTAAGTGTTCATCTAATTGGTAAAATTCAGAAAAGAAAAGAATACGCATATTGTATGTGCTCAGGTCATATAGAAAATATGAATAAACATTCTATATTATTAGATTTTAAGTCTTAAAATGTATCCAACTGTGATATTTGATAAACTGTGTGTAGCAAACAAAACTGATGAATTGTGTGCAATTAGCAAATGTGTTTTAAAAGTATTAAAAGTATGTTGTTTATATGTTTTAAGCCAATTTATTGTACTCTACTGTTAAGCATATCGATCACAATGCTATGCTATCATCAAAATCAGACTTTGCATTACAATCGATTTAAAACAACAACAAAAACAGAACGATACCAACGTCAATAGATGTGTTTTAAATAAATGTACCAAACGAACAAAAAAAAGGAAAAGAAAACCTGAAGTCAAATGTGAAAATCCAGTTAACAAATAATATTAATCAAGCCAAATGTTTTTGAAATCAGTGCTTATAATTCATTGTTTCGTTTGTGAAAAATATTGTTATTTTGTGAAATATACATATGTATTATTATTATAGTCAATAGTTTTAGAATCAAATTTACATTTCTATGTCATTCCAAAGCTTCCCAGCATTCCTTGACAAACCACTGAAGATGAAGGGAAATAGTTTAATTGATAAATGAGCAAAGATAATGCCGAGTCATAGTTAACACGATAATGATTGGGTTTTAAGCTTGTATAAATAATAAATGTATTTTAACGAAATGAATAAATTATGTCATAGCATTTGTGAGTGAGATTGCTAATCAAGCGGTGTATGTATTAGTTGCCACAGTTTGCATGCCTAGTCAAATATATATATATACAAAATACAGCCCATATATATATATGTACTAACTGAATAGTTCGGCACTCACAATCGACATTTGGCTGAATGTTCAAAATGCACTTGTGCTTTGTTTGTTTTGCGTTTTTCTTATGCAAAAAAATTATTAACAATTATAACAAAAAATCAACTTTTGAACTATATAAACCAAAATAAAACATTTTTTTCAACCATGTATTTCAAATTCTCATGAATATATATATATTTTCTGTGTGTGCGCAGTACTATGTTAGCCTTGGGATCAATTATCCGGTGTAAGTAATATAAAATACATACTCGATAAGTTGAAAAACTGTAAAAATATATATTAAAAAAAATATACATAAATATATATTAAAATACAGATCACTTCATACAAAACACAATCATAAACACACAGTCAAACATTAGATCATTCAATTGTGCAATTTAGAAGATGATTCCGTTTCCAAACAAATATTTCGGATAGATAGTTTCTGAGAGAGGGAAAGTTAAGATCAGCACAGTGAATATAAGCATATATTTAGTATACTTTAAGGACTTTTATCCCTTTTGCCTTATCAAGTATGTACCTATTGCATGTTATATATATATATATATCTATATTTTCCTTTTGCCAACTTGTGAAATCTAAAAGTCTTTAGTTTACTAATAATTGCGAACATTTTTGCATGAACCATTAATTTGTCACCACTTTTTGTAGCAAAAAGCTGCTCACTTTTATTTTTTTCTAAATAAAAAAATGGCTGTAGCTAGAAATTACAATAATAATATTGCTAACAATTCAAAATGAAAACACTGGTAGCAGTAACAATAACTGTCAAACTGTATTGAAAAACCCACACACTATTTATATAATTGTACTACTAAAAAGTCCCCCTGTGAAGACACCTCCCTCAACAACAAATATTACAAATTAATCCAACAGATTCACTGAAACGGCGAGATTGCTACGTAATGTTTTCACACGTCGTGCCAACACAAGAGTCGAAACGGAACTAGAATTATCGCGTGAGTACAATTTCCATTTAAGAACCAACCAAGCAAAGCAATCCGGTAATCTATCCAGCCAATCAGTTCCCAAGGACATTTTGGCTTTATGGTGGTGACCAGTTCTTTTTAAATGGGCTAGTCTGCATTCTATTTACTTGTTTAGCTGTAGTCACGGGTTTATCAGCACTTTAGATGCGCGTTAATTGAATTTCAGTTATGATTGCCATTTTGACATTTGATTTAATTGGGTTTTCATTCGACGTGGGCGGGCGCCACCTCGTATAAACATTGTAAACACAACAACATTCATTCATTCATTCACCATTCATCAACCCATTTCACATTTAATATTTATAGTAATTACCTCTGATATTTAATTCATGTATATATATGTATGTTGCTTTCCTTAGATGGCTATGCATTTTCTCAAGAGGAAGGCGGCGCTGTGCCGCAATCAATTGTTATACGAGCCTATGACACGAATTTGCCCAAACCGGAGGGAAATTAGGCGGAGGAATGCGTCTAGAATTTTGGAAAAAGTAATGCTTGTGTGTCTGTCATCTGCTGTGTAAAAGGGCCAAAGAAAATAAACCATTTAAATACATATTTTAAGTATACTTTAAAAACATATAAAATCAAAAGATAAATCCAATCAATGTTAATACAAACTGCAACTTTTTGTGAACACTCACACACACAACACACACACTCTTTTTCTGGTATTAATGCATCAAGATATTCTACATGTGTCTTACATTACTATTTTTTTATAAATGCTGCATATGATAACTTAAATATGTATTTGTATCTTAATTGTTAATTATTTGATAAGTCTTAAAAAAAAAAACACTTAAATAAAGTCGTTAGAAGCAGTTTATTTCTTTGTACATATTTACAACTAATCTGATCTTGTCTATACATGTGCATTTGAATGTAAACTACAAGCTTAACAAAATTTAACACAAATATACATTATAAAAATTAACAATTGCATTATAAAATTTGAAATGTGCCGCAAAAAATATCGATTCCTTCCAATTGGCGAGCGATTACTTGAGATATCGGTGCAAGTGATATCGACCAACTAACACTGCAACCAGGTACGCTGTTCGTTGGCTAGAACTTGTACGGTGCTTGCACACAGCCGTAAATATTTTAAGTCAACGTAACCCTGAGGAACATAAATATCAAAATATCGATGCCATTCAATTGGAGCGATTGCTTTAGCTATTGATACAAACGATATCGACCAACCACCATAGCCATTACATGAACTGAAACCAGGGACGCTGTTCGCACACACAACCATAAACACTTTAAGTAAATGCAACCCTGAGGAACGACGCGGCTTTCCATTTACGCTCTCTTGAGCTTGCTAAATATACAATAAGTTGAATTTTCGCCTATTCTGCACAAGTGAAAAGCACGCACAGGCAAGAATTAAACGATGGATGACATGCTGAGTCCTAACTTTAGCATACCCAGTATTGGGCATGCACCGACACCGATCCATCACAGCCTCGACGCCGATCAACAGATTGAGGCATTGCCACACCAAGTCTACCATCCACCGGCACCGGAACCAACTCCAACAACAGCCAGCAGCTCAGTTCAGCAGCAGCAGCCGGATGCTGGCTCAACTGGTGTCGATGGAGGAAGTGGAGGCGGAGGTGGGGCAGGCGGAGGAGTAGTAACTGGAGGAAGTGGCCTATTTGGCCACGAACCCACTTTACCTTTGGCCCACAAACAAATGCAAGGCTATCAGCCAACGGCATCCTACCAACAACAGCAGCCGGGAGGAGGCGGTGGCACGCCTCAATCCCTGATGCAGCCGCAGACGCCGCAGAGCATGATGTCCCACATGATGCCCATGACGGAGCGTTCCGGGGGCACAGCAAGTGTGGGAGGAGGAGGCGATGCTGGATCTTTGAGTAACATACATCAAACAATGGGTCCATCGACACCAATGACTCCGGCGACGCCTGGTTCGGCGGATCCCGGCATTGTGCCGCAGTTGCAGAATATTGTGTCCACTGTGAATCTGTGCTGCAAATTGGATCTGAAGAAGATTGCGCTGCATGCACGCAATGCTGAATATAATCCCAAGCGATTCGCTGCTGTCATCATGCGCATCAGGGAACCCCGCACCACGGCACTAATTTTTAGTTCCGGCAAAATGGTTTGCACGGGCGCCAAGAGCGAAGATGACTCACGACTGGCGGCCAGGAAATATGCGCGTATTATACAAAAGCTGGGATTTCCGGTGAGTGCAGATCAGCTGAAACTATTTTTAGGGTATCGCCCAATCGTGCAGTCTCCCTTTAATTATAATTTCCCTTGCTTGCAGGCGAAATTCCTTGATTTTAAGATACAAAATATGGTTGGCTCTTGCGATGTCAAATTTCCCATTCGGTTGGAGGGATTGGTTCTCACTCATTGCAATTTCAGCAGTTATGAACCAGAGCTATTCCCTGGTCTCATCTATCGCATGGTGCGTCCTCGCATTGTGCTCCTCATCTTTGTGTCCGGCAAGGTGGTGCTGACCGGTGCCAAGGTTCGACAGGAGATTTATGATGCCTTCGACAAAATCTTTCCCATTTTGAAAAAGTTCAAGAAGCAGTCATAAACTCTTTGTATCTCTCTCTAGCGATAATTAACTCTTAAAGTTGACTATTTGTAAATCGAACTAGTTCAATATGAAATATGTGTGAGTCCGTTTTGTGTGTGTGCCTGTGTGAGTGATACCGATTAATATCGCCAAATAAAAACTGTATTTAGTTGTATATATGTCATTTGCAATGTGCGTAATTTTATGGCATACAGTGACATTGCTTTCAATATTGTTATCCATCTTTAGCGAATTTCCCTATTTTCGCCGTCTTAAACTCACTTTTTAGCGATAATTCTTAAAGTTGACTATTTGCCAGTCGAACCAGTTCAGTATTATGTGTGAGCCACCGATTAATATTGCCAAATAAAAACTGTAGTTGCATTCGCAATGAGTGCCTATCGACATATCGATTTTATTGGCCTGCGATGACATTCACTTGTAAAATTATTGTTTAATGCAAATTTAAACCTTAGCTTAGAGACATTGCGCCATCAGTGCACCCACATTTTCGAATTCGATCTTCTCCGTAATGTTTTTGGTCTTGATTTTATCGTCTTGCGTGGCCACAACTACCAAATCGTGTCCCTGATGCTTCCAACCATTGCGTTTAATCCAACTTTCCAGCGTTGAGTCCTCAATGCCGCCGAGCAACTCCTTCAACAGATCCTTTTTGATCGTCTGGAACGTGGTGCCCACAACATGTGAGACAAATTTGCGGATGGAATCATGGAAACCGGCAATATGCCGAAACATGGTGCGATTCACTTCGGCTCGCTGCCAAAACAATGTGAAATCGGCGCGTTCCAATATATCAGCCAAATCGATAATTGTCTGCACGTTCTCGTCCTTCATCTGCTGGGGCAGCAACAAGCACTTTGCCATCACAAAATCGGTGTGCGGCAAATTCGTGAGCGATTTCAACAGAATCGTGTAAGTAATGTCAAAATTTAGCATATGCGGGTTGAACTGATACAACTTGAGTACGGCCAGATTCGCTTCCAGATCGTAGCTATTGTTCTTGGCCTGATCCTGGACATATGATTCCAGTATTTTCAAATGATCCGGATTGTAGCTGAAAATAAGAAAATTAATCATAGGTTATGTTTTGTATTTGTGTGTGTGTATTTGTTGACTACAGAGGACAACAACTTACCGTTCGATGCAGCCCAACATTTCCTGGATTGTTTGGCTTTGGCCATTTTCCATTTTCACCAAATGCGACATGTTTTGTACAATTTACGATATAGATTGGGTGGCTTTATAATTTTTATGCGAAAAATAAATGAAACAACATTCGCGTGGCGATGTTTGCCTCCAGATGAACAAGTTCAAAGGAACGATTCAGTGAACTGAGTCCGATGACTGTCATTCATTGAGTACTGCCATCCTGAGTAAAGTGTTAACTCAACTGTTATGAACAGTGCCAACTGAGATGAGTTACTTGATCGCGGCCGCTGTTAGCAGTTTCAATTGCGAGAAAAATTAATATAAAATAATGTGTTTTATTTGCTTAAATGGAATGTAGAGCAATCTTGTGTACATACCGACTGAAAAATAAATAGTTCCAAAAGTTGCTTGAGCAAACATTGTGAAAAATGTTAAAAGCCAACGGTAATCTCTGCGCGCGAATGTTGTCACTTTTAAATATCAAAATGGCACACCAACGGGCCTCTTCCCAGGTATTTATGTTATTTTGCATTGCATAAAATAGATCAATATTTATATATTCTTTTCAGATATTTTTAATAAATAAACATTTTTTTATTATTTATTTACCTGCCCAATTTGTTGGGTTTGACATTTTCAAATATATTATGGTTAAGTTCACTTAAACGCGAAAATTTATATAAATTCTTATTTATACAAAAATGTTTAGATGTATATCGCTATATATACTATGTACATATGGAAGTGCATTTTGTTGATCTTCTCCGTTACGTCACTGGAAGTTTGACGATTTTTAGTTATTCACTGGAATATCTGCTCGTATTCCAAGGAAGTTCAAATAGAATTGTATTTTTTGTTATGTTGTCACTGGAAGCAATTTTTGTTGTACCATATTTATTTGGAATGTTTTGGTATTGTTGCTAGTCCCATTTAAGTCTTCGCTGTCTCAGTCTCCCTGCGAACGGTGCCCGCAGCAGCCGCCAGCTCAGCTTGTCGCTGTTCCTCTTCCAGTTCGAGACGTTCCACCTTTTTGATTTTGCTCAGTTTCTCTGGAATGATCGGGAAAGTTAAGACGGAATACTTACTAAGTTAAAATAGAATACATACTTGCACACTTTAGCATTATGGTGCCCCACCAGATGGACCAGCCCCAGCCCACAAAGCAGAAGAGCACACAAAAGAATTGCGACACGGCCACAATAATATTTATGATAAACGATCCAATTCGAGCTCTTGCGCTGTCAAATTGCGAAAATCGTGGAATGCCGACACACAAGCAGAACAATCCGGAAAGCAAAGTGCCTGCAAAAATTAGAAAAAAATTATCATCGAATTATAGGGGGCATAAAACCCACCTAAGCCTGGAAAGATGATATTGCAAAAGGCACAAAACCAGGCGAGATAAAGCGGCAACACTGGAATAGCTCCCTTCATTTTGGAAGTGTATTCCACCAGATCATTGTGCAGCTTGCGACGCGTATCCTAAAATATATAATAGAAATGACATTAAGTATAGGTACTGATCAGATATGTATTTCCAAATCCATAACTTTGTCAAACAAACCCCGATTGTTAAAAGCTAGATATTTTTAATCATGATTTGACCTCTAGATTGATAACTTCTAAAGCCATAACTTTGTCAAAACTGATTCTACGTTAATATACAAAAGTATATAAAGAATTGAAATAGACTTACTTCGCTTGGTGGTGCGACAATACTTTGTCGACGTGTTTCCGAGCCACGACGTGGTTTCTTCTTACGGCAACAGAGCAGCATGAGCCAGAATCGTTTGCAGCAGCCCCTAAAATAATCGAGGAATTAGTTAAATGCACATATAATATATATATAATAAATATATATAAATATATACACTCGATTAACTTACACCTTGGTCACTTCTTCGGCTGCTGCTGTGGAGGACGGGGCCACCGAGGAACCCTCCAGGACAGCCGCATCTGTTGCCGTTATGCCCAGCTCTGGATCTCGATCTGGATCTCGCCATGCCACCTTGGGATCTGTGGCAGCAGCAGCTGCTCGCCTGCGTCGACAGGGTATGCAAAAGCAACATTTATTCAGCTCTGTCTCATCGCCTGTGATCGGATCCACTTTGTTCACCGAACGACAGCAGAAAACCTTTCGCAGGCACATGCCACACTTTCCCTGCTGCTGCTGCTGCTTGGGAATGGGTTGATGCATTTGCCCCATGTCACTGCTCATTTTGGCCTCCTCCTTATCCACATCCGATTCGCCACTTGGCTTTGGTTTCTTTTTGCAACTCTTGCAACAATTGAATTTTGGGCAGCAACGAGCCTTTTTCTTCTTATCCACCTTCGTTTCGTCTATGACCTCCACTTGGGTTGTGGTTGTTGTTGTGGCGCTGCTTCGAGCACTGGAAAGCACTGGGTGCTCCTCGGTGGCATCATGGAGACGATCCTTGCGCCGACCACAGCATCGCATGCAGCGCGATCGACGGAAACGCATGCAGAGCGTGCTGCAACAGCGGCAACAGCCACGTCCCTTGCCCACATCATCCTTGAGGAACTCCTCGCTGCTGGTTCTAATAGGTAATAATAGATCGTTTAAGTAAATACTCTTAACTACACTCAGAAAAAAAAATGCGCGAAATTTAGAAAATTGGCCATTAATGAAAATCATCCTAAAAACTATAAGAATTGTCTGGTTTTTAGAAGTAATTTCTAAAATTACGAAAAATGAATTCTATAATTAAGAAATAAATATCTAAAAAGTGGAAATTAAAACTATTAAATATACTTTCTGAATAATAATCTGAGCTACACTTGGCTGGATATATATTGTTTTTTGAGTATAGCAGTCAATAATAGTTTTTTTTTCGCAGTGTTGTCTGAGTCTAATAACCATAATGACCATAGACCTTGTCCTTTCTGTGTGATATCATGGCAATAATTTGCACATTTGCATAGTCTCGACTTTTGCATTGAAGTGCCTTTATTTTATGCAAATCAATTTCGTGCTCTGCGCCTTGCGATTGCATTTTGCCATTACTGTCATTAGCATATGAAATGAGTTTCAGCTTTTGCATTCAATACGATAAAGATGAACTGGTGCACGAGAGCAGCTACAATGCCCATTAGCATATGCATAGGTCAAAAGTTCGACAAATAATGTATATATATATATATATATATATATAATGGACAATTTGCTACACTTTCATTCATAGAATTTCCTTTTGGGGGGATGCGTGCACGCATTGCTTGGGTTTAATAATCCCAGAGTAAGTTCAAGGTTGGGTTTTTCTTTCTATTTTGTTTTTTTTTGTTGGTTGGATAACATCATAAGCGAGTATAGTTTGTTAACTAAACACAAATTGCCTCATATTCAACTCGCCACTCAGCACTCAACACTCACTTACACAATTTGCCACCACTTGCGACCACGTGCCTAAGGATAATGAATATGATTTCAACGACGCGAGGCAAACAACCCAACTTATTTTGGAGGTCGAGTCAAGAAATTCAAGTTTCTTTATTTTTTTGCTTACTCAAAACTTGCGCAAGATTGTCGCATTTCAGAATTAATTACTTAGGGCGTAGAAATCACACGTGATTGCATTATTTACCCATAGGAATATTTGTTTGTTATTATTTACTCAAAAATTTCACAAGTTTGTTGCATTTACTCATTAAAAACTGGAATAATGAATAGGCAAAATACTCAATTTTTTAAAGAATTATTTACCCATAGAAGTACTTGTTTATTATAATGGAAGGAGTAAAAAAAGACTAATTTTGTAGTATTATTTACCCATAGAAATATTTGTCCGAATCAATCAATGAATTCTGCGGCAGATCAATGCTGAAGATGACCGAATTCTTTTTCTTCTTCGACAACATTTTTTAGATTTAAAGCTTTTATTTTTTGTTTTTTGTTGCTAGGATTTACTTTTTGTGCTAAGAGTGATTTTTGGTTTTGTGCTGCGCTTGGCGCGATTGTCCGGCTGAAACTGATTTGTTATTGCGGCATGAAACTTTGGACATGCCACGAAAACTAAGTAAGCAGCTCCCCATACAATGTTGGCTGTTGTTTTTGTTGCTGTGTATTGTGTATGTGCACACCTCCTTCTGACTGGGTTGGTCGGTCACACTACACTCAGAATAAAAATACCACTGATTTTTTGCAGTTGATAACTTCAGGGTAGATTATTCTAAAATGTCGAAAAAATATTCGAATTTTCATGTTGTTTCTTTTCTAAATGTATTTGCCATAGAAATTCATTTCTCATAACAGAAAAAATCGCTATATTTTTGGGATTGCCTTTCTAACTTTTAGAAAACATTTTTCTTATATTTGGAAATCACTTCTAAAAACAAGAACAACTTTCTAGTCATCAGGCTATATTTTCTCTGAGTGCACTTGCAGTATACACACATACATACATATATATACACATATATATATGTGTATATGTTTGTCCATTGAAGGACGCCGCAGCTCACGACCAACGTTGAAGTCGACGACGACGACAAGCCAGCGAACGGATATCCTTAAAGGCGTTTCGTATGGTCCTTTAGCACCCTCTCCCCTACTCGAAGCCGTCTCGCCCAAAACAAAGTTGTACGTAAATTTATTGACGCATTTATGAGTGGCTTGAGCCACCCCAGCTACAACTATATATCCACCTATATATATATATACATATATATATATTTCTATACACATATATATACGTATTCACGTGGTTTGGCGTTCTAAAGTTTTATCCGTACGGTTTATTCGTGTTGTTGTTGTTCGGGTGTTTCCGGGTATGTTAATTTAGTGGCCAAGGGGTCTAAGGTATATGGCTTGCAATTGTTTTTACACTTGCTACACTTTAAGAACGTGGCAAAAAGTTAGTAGACTTGCCAAACAAAAAAAATGATGGGGCAAATTGGTTTTTTTTTGGTTTCTTTTAGCCTTTGTGTACCCTTTGCATGGACTGCTATACATCAAACAGAGCTGTCTCAAAAGCAATGCTCCAAAAAAAATGCTCAAAGGAAGATTTAGGACGACCGAAATTTGAGTCTGCACTCAGAAAAAGCTGACCCTGAAAACTGAAAACAAGTGTGTTTTTGTGGGTCTTAGAAATAATTTCCAGCAACAGGAAAACCAAGTTTTGAAAAATTATGAAACAAGTAATGGAATTTACTGGCTCGGTTTTTATGTTCGAGTTTAGTGACTACTAAAGTCGTCTGCCTTAGAAAATTATTATATGAATTGGTAAGCAATCTAAAATATTTGTATATGCAAAATCTTAAAATACAAAAATTTATTAATATTATAAATAGAACAAAAACGAATTCTTCTATGCACAGAAAACAACAGCCTTTAAATTAGACATATTTTTGCTAAATTTTAGTAAAATTCACCCTGAAATTTAGAAATTCAAACCCTGGTTTTTAGAAAGCCACAACCATAAATTTAATAAATTGACCTTATGAATATTGAGGAGAGGTGAGTATTCAGGGCTACTATTTTGCCGAGTGTGGGTTTCGAGTCTGACTTCCAGTTGTGCTCAGACTATAATTACTTAAATGAAGTTCATTACTTACTTGGCATGGGCACCGCCGCTGCCCGCTGTCGAACCACCCTGTCCATCGGGCGAAAGTCTCTTGTCATCCACTTGAAAATCCTCCCTGCTGCCCCCATCCTTGTGCGTCCTGGCGTGTTCAAAGTTGACAGCTTGAGCCTCCTCCAAATTGGCCAGCTCATTGTCAGCCTCTGGCATGGCCGAGATGGCATGTGGACTAATCGAGACCGCCTCGGCTGTGTTTAACACCGATATGGATGCTTCGATGGGTTGCGTTGGGGGCACCGGCGATTTTTCCAATTCCGAGGGTGAGCTCGTCAAGGCATTGCTGCCGTCTGCGGTGTCCAGACGCGAAACAGCAGATTCATTGGGTTTGACGGCGCCGCTCGGTGTGGGTGATGCCCCAGCAGCTAAATCTGGCACCAATCCGGATTGATTTTCATGCGTTTTGTGGTCCATTAAATGGTCAGTCAGAGTCTCAGACGTGGCCGAGTCTATCATCGATTTAGCCTCCAATTTTGCATCGGAACTTGTTGCAGCTGGAGGAGAAGCAGCCTTTGCGGCAGCAACTAAAAAATTTGAGCAGTTAGTGAAAAGACTCACTATATAAACAACACCCTCGAAATTATAAGCTTACCCTCTGCCTCAGTTGTCTGTTCCGGCACCGTGGACACTTTGCGATTGTGTGCGGAATCTCCACGTTTCTTATTGCTAATCAGGCTGAGCCGGGAACTCATGCGGACCAATGTGGACATATTGGAGCCTTGTCGCTGGATGCCGCCGCCTTTCGATGGCGTTGCATTCACCTCGCTGCGGACAGCGGGTAGAGCATCTGCCGCCTGTTGTACGGCATTCCCCACATGCATAGCCAATGGCTTACTGCTGTCCGCAGTGTTGTCCTTGGCCTTGATCTCCTCCCTTTCCGTGGAGATCTTCTGCTTGGCTTGTTTGCTCGACTCATTTTCTTGGGGTTGGGTTTGTGTTTGGGGTTTCTTAATGCTCTGCTGGGATCCGGCGCGCTTTAGGGGTTTGGGTAATCCACTTTTTCCATTGGTCTTAGTTGCTGTTGCCTGTTCCAGTTTCTGCGGCTTCGCTGGCTTCTTGGAAGTGACTTTTGCCGGGGTTTTACTTCCATTACGCTCCAGTTTGCTTATGGACGAGATCTTCTTTTTGGCACTTTCTGCTTTGGAGCTGCTCAACTTTGCCTTGGGACTGACCTTCCTGGACTGAACTGTCTGAGCTGACTTTTTGCCCTTTGCCTTGTCGCCTGTTTGGGTAACTGGCGCCACTGTCACTTTCTGGGCGGGTGAACTGGTCTTGGATGCACTTGCGCTCCTCGTGGGTATGCGGGAACGCGAATTGCGACGTGGTCCAATCGATGTGGTTTCTTTGGGTGTCTGCTTGCTGGGCTTACCACGTTTTGCCGTAGGACTTGGTGACATTCTGCGTCTTGGCGTTGCTTTAGCTGTTGGTGTTTTGGGACTTGTCGATATGGATTTTCGACGATTGGGCGTGGTGTCCATCTGACGACTGTTGCGTGTGTTGTTGCCGGCTGCCGGTGAAATGGAGGGAGTGGAACGCATGGAAGAGCGTACGCTCAAACGGGACTCAGCTCGGGAGTCGGCACGCGAGTTGGCCCGGGAGTCAGCTCTGGAATCAGCACGGGAGTTAGCTCTGGAGTCAGCACGAGAGTTCACGCGGGAGTCACCTCGGGACTCGGCACGGGAGTTCGCCCGGGAGTTGGCTCGGGAGTCAGCTCGGGATTCAGCTCGGGAGTTCGCTCTGGAGTTTGCCCGAGAATCAGCCCTCGAGTCAGTTCGGGAGTTATCCTGGGCCAGTCGAGAGTTGGATCTGGAAGCAGGCGCACTGCGACGATTGGGCGTCAATCGAATGTCCATGCCACGTATATCCATGCCACCGCTCCTAGTCGTTGCCTGCGATGGCGAGCGACTGTTGCTCGCCTGCGAATTGCGACCGGAGAGTGTCGAGAGTGGATCCTTGAGTGGTGATGTAGAGCGACTGTTGGGCAGCGAGTCACGTGGACTGTTACGCACTGGTATGCGGGATGTGGAATCGCGACGGCGCAGCAGCGACAGCTCGGAGGCTGTGTCGAGATGAGCTGCCTCATAGGCATCACCATGCAGGGGACTGTCCTTGCCGCTGTCCTTGTTCGGGGTGCCAATGATCGGCGAGAGAGTCGAGGGCTTAGCAATCTTGGTGCGTTTACCGAGTTGTTTCAAATCCATGCTGGTAATCGATTTGCGACGGGGAGACTTTTTAGGTGTTTGATAAATGGATTTTCTACGAGGAGCAGTTGATCCTGTTCCTGTTATGGTTGTTGTTGCTGGCAGTGTTGAGAGCGTGGGTCGGCGGAAACTAAAGTCGGAGGTGGTGATGCTACTTAAATTCGAACTGCGTCGATCCGAGGCTGTTTGCGTTGAGCTGCGACGCTCGGGCGATGTGGAGCTGGAGCGACGACGATGCCGGGGATCGAAGGCGGACTTCCTCAAACGCTGCTCCAGCGTCAGATCGTCCAGACTCAGCCAATTGGAGCGGGGTTGAAGGGGGGAGAAACGGTCTTGCTCTTCCTTCTCCTCTTTATTGATGATGCTCAGCAATCCACGCTGTTTGCGCGTCGGATTCGGATTTGGCTTGAACGGACGTGGCAGTGAGCCCGGTGGTATAATTGCCGGCTCCTTATCCAGTTCCATGTTGGATCTATGAAATCGTGGTATGGCGCTGCGTAGATAGGCATCCGTGATCAACGGTAACGTCTCCAGACTCTTGATGCGCTGCTGGCCAAAAGTAGATCCACGTCGTTGGATGCGAGGCGTATATGTGGTGTCCACGGATGAGGTCAATGAATCCCGCTGCTGTAGTATGCCCTTTGTGGGCATGGCCAGCTTGTTCGGACTATAACGCCCAGACATATTGAACTGCACCGAGGGACGTGGCGAATCATCCGTTGGAGCTGCTGGCAACGGCAGTTGGGGCAAGCGCATACCAGCCAACGATTTGCGGCGTGGCCTCAACTGTGGCGCAGTCTGAGCCGGCGCTTGAGATGAGGTAGTTGTGGACTGAATCGAAGGATGGCGATCAGTGCGTTGTGGCGAGGATTTGGGCGAGCGCACGGAGAGTATGGTGAATGAGGACTTCTTGTGGAGTCTAGTATCGCCCACGCTGTGGAGAGAAGAGAAGGGGCTTAAAAAGATTACCTAAACTCATCAATAAATGGCCCTACAACATTTAGGGCGGTTTTCTTTACTGAATGTAGCAGTTGACCTCACCGATAATCACCGCCTGTGGAGACTGAGTCCTTGATGACCACCGGGGACATAGTCTGCAAGTGAGACTGCAACTCCTCCAGCTCCTGATCTTCCTGCTGCTCCTCCGGCTCCTCATCTGGTGTTGCCCGCTCTATGCTCGATTCGGGCATTAGACTGTGATGTGATCTGTGTGATATGGGCGTCTCCAGGCCGTAGGAACGCATGCTCTCAATCAGCTGCCTCTCGTTTAACTCCCGCAGCAATTCCCTTTGTTGTTGCTGTTGGAGATACTGCTTGGGCGAGAGTATTAGATTCCTGTCTAGACTGGACGACATTTGTTTGTCCTGCAACTGATCGTCGCCGCTGCTGCTCGAGTTCGTGGAGTCCTGCAACATGGTGGCTAGCGGGGAGAGGGGCATCTCTTCGTGCTTAATGGACATGACCATTTTGGAGCTGGGTCGCAGTTTTGGGATGCGACTAAACTCGGCAAAATGCTGCGAAACGGGTCGATACCAATCCAAGCCACTGCTCGCATACGATTCCGATCTGGGTCTGTGGAGAGAAGGTAAGAAGGAAGGGTTGAAGGGTCAATTTTTATTTATTTAATGTCAACTTAAGTTAGAAGACACAAAAAATAGATTCAATTCAATGAAAAGTACAATTTAATATTCAAATTTGAATTTAAAAATAAGAAATATTTATAAGATCTATAAGAAGTCTGGGGTTATTTAAATGCAAATTGAATAGTGGAAATCTCAGAAACATCACAAAACACCCGCTCCTCCCTGGACTTACCTAAGTTTACTCTGCTGCTGCTGCTGTTCCTGTTCCTCCTCGGAAACTTGGGTTGCCTGCTCATCGTATTGGTTGTCATAGCCAACCGGCTTGCTGACATTGTCCAGTGGTGTTAGGAGCATAAAATTGGGCGAATCAAGTTGATCGGAGCCACTAGAGCCAGCACTCGAATTGGGCAGAATTTGTATATCCGGTGGTTGGAGGCGTGGTAAAGGCTGGGAACGGCAGGTGCTGATGGTGTTGGTGTTGCAATAAGGCACATTGGAGAAGAGCCTGCGACAACTCTCATTTCCGGTGAGGGCATTTAGAGCCACCGCTGCGACCAGAGTATCCTCCTCGGAGCTGGGCATATCAATGGATGAGGCATGTATCGTTTCGAAAGCAGCGGTGCCAAAGTAATCCTCTGGCTGCGGTGGGGGCACTGGATCACCAAAGAGGCTACTATACGGCTGATTGAGCTGAGAGGATGTCATCGTCGTCATCGTCTTGTTCTCCATATACAGCTGATCCTCGGCAGTATAATTGCCATTGCTATGCGTAGATGGCGACATAATGCGCCTGGGATCGTAGCTATAGTCGACGGATATTATGGCTGGTGTGGCTGTGACTGTAACTGGTACTGGGATCGGGAATGAAACAGGGACTGGGATTGCTGTGGCTGTGTCCGTTGTGGAGCGGGGTCGGATTGGCGCCGAGATGAGTGTCGGTGATGGCGATGATGAATATGACAATGTTTGCTGCATGTTTACACATTTGGGCTGCTCTCTCTAACTTCCTAAGGCTTGGACAAGAAAATAAAATGGGGTGAAGGAAGCACAGCGTAGGAAGCACTTTTTGCTATTGTTGTTGTTGTTGATTTTGTTGCTCTTGTTGTTGCTGGTTTCAAATTAAACTGCGATTGCTGTTGTTGCCTGGTAGATGTGCCATTGTTCTGTGAACGAGAGAGAGAGAGGGAAAGAGGGAGAAATAGGTGTCATAAAATGGATCCTTGAGTCTGAATTTAGCGCGTTCTAATTTTGGCAAAACATTTAATGTTTATTTGATGATGAAAGCCGAAGCACTTAAAGCCCTTCCAAGCCAAGGAAATGGAGCAAGTGACACGGAGCGAAAAGTAAATACTATATCGTATATATATGTATATATATCCATATCCAATTTATCCATAGATTATATATATATTATTATTAGACCTTCTCGCCAATGCAATGTCAGTGCACCAAACACGCGAAGCGCCGACAACAAACTGAAGACTGTGAAAGATACAAACACAGACCGAGACCCCAACGAAAAATAAAAGCCAATATAAATGTAAAAAGTTGCGAAAATAGTAATTATTATTTACAAATGCAATATATATCGCATATCTCATATATATCATATATCTGTTGTATTTTCTAATATATGTGTATTTTATTTATATTTGTACTGTTTTCACTGCCACTGCCATTGAGACTGATAACGCCTCCACAGACAGACAGACAGACGGCTATATAGGATGCCCCGCAGTTAACAGTTGAGTGAGTGTTTATACCCTGTACTAAACACGCCTCTCTGTGGCGTACATGTTTATTTTCTATTATTATTATTATTTTTTTTATAGAAAATCATTTTTTGTTAAGTTTGCACTTACTGCCTAAAAAATTATATCGTGACCGTAATGAAACCTTTCGCGATAAGAGTTCTCCGACCTGATAGGATAATGAGTCTAGACGCACTTGCAGCAGTAAATGTGTACCTAAATAATGTCCTAAGTAGGATAAGAATAATTGTCGGTAGCCTTAAGACTTCTAAATGAAGTTTTCAATAAACCTGCCGAAGCATTTTGGCAGCAGTCCATGTTCGATGCTTAAACAACGTCGTCGTGTTAAATACTTGCTCCATTTCCGTGTACTTGATTATTATTAGAACGCAGCTTCGTGAGTTAAACGGACATATTCAAATAACTCACTTTTGTTTGGGAAAAATATGACTATAATTTTATAGCTGAAAAGAAATAATAAATTTGGATTCTCAGAAATTATAATTTCTTGAGCGACTTTAGTTTTGATATTTTTAAGATAAGATAAGATAAGAACATATTTTTTTTACATAAATAAATGATCAGCGGACATATAAGTCTATATTACGACTAAACTAACAGGGAATTTCAATGTCGAGTAGTTGGCAAGTTTGCGTTTAGTTTTTTCGTATTTATTTGCCTTTCTTAAATGGTTCGCTAACGAGAGCATAACTTGTGCGTGTTTAGATTACAGCTACGAATCGCGTTGCATGTGGCAAATTGCTGTGCTTTATGTTGCATTGCACTGCACTCAATACAATTTTCCAGCAAATGTGCAATGACTTTAACTGTATTATAAAGTTTATACAATAAGCCAATTACTTCTTCATCTTCATCTTTCTGCAATAGTTTATCTGTTTAATGAGTGAAAGTGTTGCAAGTTGTATCTAAAATTAATTTATATAAATTTATATCATTCGTTGGATATTTTGAAAAATTAGAAAATATCAGCCAAACTTTATTTAAAAATTATTGAATTAAATTATACGTTGGATATTCCACAATTTAGAACTAACTTCTATGGATATTCTATAAATTAGTAGATGAATATTATAGAAATTAGAACTGTCTACTAAATCACTCTCTTTAGAAATGTTTGATGCTGAAAGCTTTTTAAGCATTTCTTGTAACAGATGAAATAATTTGTATTTAAAATGAATTAGTATAAATTAATTAGTGGATATTCTTGAAAATATAACTGTCTGCAGTCACCAAACCAGTCTGGCAATAAAAAAAAACTCAATTTTCTATGCTTTTTTCTAGTCCATTGATTTTGAAAATATTTTTATATTGAGTTCTGTTCAAAAAGAATTGCTATTCATTTAAGATACATAATGATAAATTAATACTTTTATAGTCTATTTCTAAGCACTTGTAAAATATCGTACACAAAGTCTCCTTGCTAAACTAAAGTTTTTTTTTATTAAAAGTTCTTAAACACAATCAATAAAGTGTCAACAGCGAAATCAAATCGAAAGTTGTAATTGATTTGAACGACACTCAAAAGTTTGCCATCTACTTTGCTGCATCGATAAGCTAGTAAATTCCGAATTCGCCGTCAATATTCGCCGCATAAGCGAAAGGAGTTTCGCTTGAGTAACGGGTGCCTTGTGGGGGAGGGGGAGGCGGGAATCGCCGCCACATGGCACCTGTTGTTATGATTGAAGCACGCGATGTGAATTAACTTAAGCAGACATACATATACACATACGAGTATATATAACCATATATATCTACATATCTGTATTTATATCTATGTGGAGCACTGTTACATTTTTGCGTGCATTGTGCGTTATCTGTGCAAAATGTGGCAACTATTTTATTAGGCAAGTGTTGTGAAATGTTAGTCTAAGCTTACTAATACATACACATAGGTACACACACACACTCACGCGAAATATTAGTTTAAGCTTACTAATACATACACATAGTCTATGTAGGCTGAGCACTTTACACATACACACATACACACATATACACACGCGCGCTTTGGTTGCCTTCTCCTTGGCTTTGGACTAAAGCGGGTCAAAATAGCAACAATTTTCCGAATACACACACACACACTCAAATGTTTCGCCGTGTGTTTGTAAATGTGTGTGTGTGTGTGTCAGTCAAGTCAACAACCAGGCAAGGCAAGCCAGGCAAAACACTTGAATGACCAACGACTTGCCATGCAACACATAGAAGGAAACAACAGCAAGAACAACAACGTCTATTAATGTGCTATGGGAAAATCCTTGGTTAGTGTCGTGATAGCAATTTTCCATTCACTTGCAAAATGTTGCTTTAAGAATTTAAAAAAAACACTTGCGCATTTTGCAATTTCGCCTTTTTTTGCAGTTTTGTTAGGATTTTATTGTTTATTATATATTTATATTTTGTATTATTTTTTTTTTTTTATTATATGTTAGGCACCACTAATTTATTGACCAACTTGAGGTTATTTTGGTCATTTGACTCACATTTGGTTTTTTGTTGGTTCTTGTTTTTAACTACACTAAAATGTAGAATGGTTGTTTCAAATATGGTAGTAGGCCATGTGTGTGTGAGTGTGGCTGTGTGTGTGTGTGCATGTGTGTATGTGTGTATGTGTACATACACTTGCTTAAATCGAATTAAGAGCCAGAGCACAACGCGCCTTTTGCATCGATCCATCCGATGCACTCGCCGTTCGTTGAAAAACTAAACCGCTGAAAGAAATTGCCTTCTTATAGAAACGTTGTCGTTGCTGCTTTGGTTGCTGTTGTTGCTGCTGTTGCCGTCTTCGTCGTCCTGGCTTTGGCTTTGGCTTTGGGCTCTTGATGTCCAGCTACACTCAGAGAAAAAAATTGCTCTAAATTTTAGTAAGTCGCCTTACATTTGGCACCAAATTTAGGGTTCCAGGGTTTATTTTTCTATGTACTTACAGAAAAATGCGTATATTAGCATTTGTATTACTTATGGTTTATTAATAAGCATTTGAGAAAATATTTGTAAGTAAAAAAAAAAAAAGTTGCTATATTTTTGGGATTGTCGATTTTATGGAAAACTTTTCTAGTTCTTAGATTTTTCTCTCCTAATATTTAGAAATTGTTTCTAAAAACTTGAAAAACACTAGTTTTTGTAATGGAATTTTTTTCTGAGTGTTGGCAGCCGAAGGAGCAGCAGCAGCAGAAGCAGCAGCAGCAGTCGTCGTCGTCGTCGGCTGAAAGGTATACGTGGGTCAGTAAACCTACTTCCGGTTGACATAAATACGCCTTGGACATGAAAACTTGCCACTGGCTGGCGGCAACTTTTTGTTGTTGTTGTTGTTCTTTGACTGACATTCTATGGCTGTAGTTTTCAAATTTATGTTTTTTATTTGTATTTCAATTCAAAACTTTTTAGAGAAATATCTTTGAGTAATCAGTCCAAAAACATTTTTTGTGGTCATGCAAAATATGCTCAAATATCATTTATTTTTCTTTTTCTTTGGGCTAGGTTTCCTTTCATTGGGCTCTGACCTTAATTGGCAAGGTATGGCAAGAAATTTGATTTTTGGGCAAGCTTTCAATTTAATCTCTATTATTTTGCAACTGCACCTTCACTGCAACTACGGCTGGGTGAGGCAACAAGCTGTTCCACAGAGCCTAATTTGCCGAGTGAATAAATGTTTTCACGCGATGCCCGGCAATAAATTAATATCAATTGTTGATGATGACCAAGCCCATGTGGAAAAAACACTGTGAAATTTCGAATTACCGACAATTGTGTGGAAAATGTGCTACTTTCTGCTTTTCTTGGAGACCCACTCAAAGGGAATTCCCGTTTCGTTTTTGGAATAACTCTCTTTTAATTTGTTTGCAATTTAAGTTAACCTCTTTTCGCTCAAAGCAAATGCTTAACTCACATTTAATTTACTAGTTACCAAAAATACTCGCCTATTTTTTCGTGGGCCATTGAATTTCCCAAACTGCTTACGCCTAATATCCTTGACCCCAATATTTCCTTTGTTTTCTTTATTTTTTGCTTACGCATTGGGAGCCTTGCCAAATGTGCGTAAGATTTTCGCCACTTAAGCAATGGTTTCTTATATTGATTTGGCACATCATAAAAAAACTCACAACTGGCATAATTTAACGATAATTTATATAGCTGAAAGTTTAACTAGCGCAACATAATTAACACACATCTATTTCGGGGCTCCTGGAAAGGAATTCCTAACTTCTCCAAAATGCAAATTTCTTGTGTGTAATATAAACAGTAGTTTTGGTGAAAAGTTGCGTTTCCAAATTTATATGTAGTATTCAAATAGAACTCAAACCTTCATCAAAAATGGTTTAGTTTTCTAAATCGGTTGTTTTGAAAAAGTTTTGGACTATTTGAATTTCTATCTCAAAGTTGTCAGTTAAATTTTAAAGAGGTGAATTTTAAAATTTAGTAAGGACATTTTAAATGACATGCAGCAGGGACATAAACCTTTATTAGGGTTTAAGCCGCTCACTGAAGCGCTCAACAATAAGCTTTTAGCACTGGCTCATGTCTTCGCTATGAAGCGGGCACGACAAAATACAAAAACAATATAACTAATACCAATTTCATAAACCAGAAATGGCAACATTTTTGTTGTATCGATAACATTGCTATCGTCAATCGTCAGTCAGCTGTTTGTTGATACAAACACAACATTTTGTATGGATGTAAATAATAGTAATATTTAAATTTTTGTACACAACTTGAAGAAAATATGTTGAAAATGTAAGTAGTTTTATATCCATGGAAATCATCAATAACTCATGCAATTATCCCGCCTATCAGTTGTCGCCTCGACGAATGCAGCAGACAAATTCGAACTTCCCAATGGCTGCGACGCAAAATGAGTAAAAATTCCAATGCAGAAACCCAAATCGATGGCTATCGATGGCAAAAGCCATGCGGGGAAGACACCGGCATCCAAATCTACAATCACACTGTGCGTGGCAAGGTGCCGCTGGTGCTGCGCAATCCACACGTGGTCACCTGGTACACCTGCGGCCCAACGGTCTATGACAAGACGCACGTGGGTCATGCGAGCACTTACGTCAAAGTGGATATCATCCAACGCATATTGCGTGATTACTTTAAATATAATCTAGTCACGGCTATGAATATAACCGATGTCGATGACAAGATCATCAAGCGAAGCCGTGAAACGGGTCGCAATTGGTTGGAACTGGCTCAGGCCTTTGCGGCGGAGTTCAAACTGGACATGCACCGCCTGAATGTGAAGCCACCCAATTTGCGTGCTCATGTGTCTGCCAATATAGCCACCATCCAGCTTTTCATCGAGCAACTGCTGGCCACACAGCAGGCCTATGTCAGTCAGGACAACTCGGTTTACTTTGATGTCGCCAGCTGTGCGAGTTATGGCAAATTGGAGAAGCTGCTCCAACTCCAAGAATCCAATCCGCAATCCAGCGGGAAACGTACTGCAGCTGATTTTGCGCTCTGGAAGGCCAAAAAGGAGGGAGAGGCAGCGCAGCAAGACGAGCCCAGCTGGGAGGCATCTTGGGGCGGTGTTGGACGTCCCGGTTGGCACATCGAGTGCAGCGCCATTGCGGGCAAGTTCTTTGGCCGGCAGCTGGACATCCATGCGGGTGGCCTCGATCTGCGTTTTCCTCACCATGAGAATGAGGAGGCGCAATGTTGTGCCCATTATGAAACGGATCAATGGGTTAATTATTGGTTGCACACGGGCCAGCTGCATTTGGTTGGTGATGAGCACAAGATGTCCAAATCACGTGGCAATACCATCTCTGTCGAGGAGATGCTGACGAAATATACAGCGGATGAGTTTCGCATGGCTTGTCTGCTGTCCAATTATCGCAATGCGATGCCTTATGGAGATTCCTTGATGATTACGGCACGTCAAACGTTGCGTAAATTCAAGAACTTCCATGCCGATCTCAGCGCCTATATGCAATTCCAGAAGCCGCTCAAGCTGCTGGATGAGGGTGCTCTGCAAGCGCAGCTGAAGCATACAATGCTCGAGTTTGACAATAGTTTGAGGGATGATTTTGACACGGCACGCGCTTTAGCCGTGCTCATGGATCAGATGAGCAGCATCAGTCGTTGCATCAATGAACAGCAGTCGGATGCGGAACAGGAGCCGGCTTATTGCCTGGATCTGCTGCTGGCAGCGGGTAATTTCATTGGTAATGCCATGCAAAACTTTGGCATCACTCCATTCGACCAACAGCAGCAGGAGCAACTGAATCCCACAACGGATATCAATGCTTTGATTGGTGATCTGCTCGCCGTGCGTCGTCAGCTGCGCGAGAAGGCAATCGGTGAATCTGTCATTCAGAATCGGCAAATGTTGGCTGTCTGTGATCAATTGAGGGATCTGCTACAGCGACATGGGTTCCAGGTTCGCGATCACAAGCACGGCAGCTCCTGGACTCTGGTCGAGCAGAAGAGCGCTTCAAGCAGCGCTTAGATTTCATTTTTAATCATCAAATTATTGTTGTTACATAAATAAATGAAGAGATCTGTTGTGGGATACATTAAATCTTCGATACGATTTATTTCTCATTGATATTTTATATATTTAAATGAGGGTGCCTTACGTGTGGTCAAATTTGAATTTAATCATTCAATTATTGTTGTTTTATAATCTAATTTTACAGATATTGTTTGGCATTACATAAATAATTTAATAGATCTTGTGTCTATTTTGATACTATATTAAAATAAAAGCACCTCAGACAGCGCTTAATATTTAAGCATTAATCGTACAATTATTGTTGCTACATAAATAAATCAATAGAGCTTATGGGCGTAAATAAATCCCATATCTAATCGATGTATTACTCATAGATATTAATGGTTAAATAGCTGTGGTTGACTTAATGGTAAATGGCTGCGTTTCCGCCTTGTACAGATGCTTGGTAATTAGATAATCTCGCACCAGTTTGAAGAAAGCGACCATGCTGGTGAAGGCCACAAAGCTGACGGAGAGGACAAAATGCCACTCAATGCTGGCGGCGCTCAGCGAGGCAATCTCCACAAGCAACACGACTGCCTGCAAAGTGGCTAATGTGGAATAGATGACCGTCGGATTGTGGAACAGTTTCTGTAAAAACAAATGAATGATGAATAGATCCGACTCCGAATCATCTTTGCGAGCTTACATAGAAACGCAGATGACTGGCATTGCCAGGAGTTGCGACAGTGACCAGTCCATGGCTGCGATAGAGTGCTCCATTGTGCTTCACCACCGTCGCATGGCCATAGACAGTGTATTTCGACCAGGTTTGTGCGTTGGCCGCAACTATCAGCTGTGAGGGCGCCGCCTGCGGATCACGATCCATGCGCTGCCAGCTGCCGAGATGCAGGGTGGCCCGATGCAGTGTATCACTGTATTTGGCCGGATAGAGAAAGACGGCCGACAAACTAAATGCCCCGAGGCACACAATGATGCAATGCTGTGCGGCACGCATCACATTATATTGAATGCTCAGCGCCAGAAGGCAAGGAATCAACACCAGATACGCATTCAGCATGCAGGTGAATATTAACTGTTTGAATCGCTTGTTAAAATCATGGCGAAGCGTTTCAATCTCATCGCGTATCTGGGCGGCATTTGTGGTGCAGCTGTGCACGGGCATATCATTGATATAGACGCCGGGCACTTCGAATCTGGTGCGCAAAAATGGCTCCAACTGAAAGCCAAAGATGATCAGATAAACCACAACTCTAAAAAGGGAAAAGGGAAATTAAATATTGTAAAAATATATATAATACTGAGTATTATTTACGGGTAGCTCAGATAGAAGAGTAGCATGTAGGTGTGCTGTTGATATAATCGAAAGGCGCAATAGCACAGGGCCAGTTGGACAATGCCGCCAAAGCCATACTTGATGCCCAATCGCATTAGACGGCGATTTGTGTTGCGCCACTTGGCCAGCAGCATGCAGTAGATAAAGCGACGCGTATTCAATATAATTATCAAATAACGTAAATACGGATCAATCAATTCAATGTTCTGTAACCAAAAACAAACGTTAATTAATAAATTAATATAAATTTGCCAAGCTTACCACCATGTGCCTTGTCTGGAATTGCGGCAGCCACCAGTTGGTGCGATATATATTGATGAATTGCACAATTGCCGCACCCATTGTAAAGGCGCACATTATCAATTCACTCAGCCATTCGGATGTGGTAGCATGCTCTGGAAAGGGAATATGTTTGGGCATTGTTGGTGGTGCGCCCATTTTGGCAGACATGCTGCGCTGAAAACAGTCCTGTGCATCGCTCGAACTGCTGCCATCACTGCGCTCATCATAGCCCATTTTGTTGTGGATTGTGTACCAAGTATTAAAAATTACATTTAAACAAAACAAGGCCGGAATTGCTTGGCCGAAAAGATATGCATTGAATATCTGTCGGCAACGATGTCTGGCAACACTACAGAAACAGCTGAAAAACAATACTCTGAAGTACCGATACCAAAAAAGTGCACTTAGTACCTGTCGTCAGCGATGTCTGGCAACACTTCACATACAGCTGATTTAGATTTTATAACAAATTTGTTTGGATCGGAAAAAAAGTTGTAAGTAACTAAAAGGGAAACAAAATGATGCGCTACGAGGGAAATGAGAAACTGGCGGACGTCACGTCCTGTGCCGGTGTGCGTGCCGATCTAAAAATGTGTCTGCTGGAGAGCGAATGCTGTCGCCTGGACAAGAAAACTCCGCGCCAGTGCCTGCAGGACAACAGTGTGCCGCCTGAGTGTCAAGTGTTGCGAAATACGTTCTACGAGTGCAAGCGTTCGCTGGTAAGTGCCAGACTGGGCTGTTACACAAAAACAAGCCTGCTCATGAATATATTTTCCAGTTGGATAATCGACAACGTTTTCGGGGACACAAAGGATATTGAGCTGATTTTAATTGTTACTTAAACGCTAAGATTTGAATACAACACGAAATGTAAATGTAAATGCGCATTCATTTAATTGCGTCTTCGTCGCACACGGGAAATGCGCCAAGCATTGGGCTCCTCGTATTTATTATAGAGCGGCTCCAAACGCTGATTCTTCTTGAATTTGCTCAGCTTTGTGGGATCGGAGAAGCGGAAAAATGATGGTGCAAACTCCACCAGCCACTTGGGATCGATGGTGGTCACCTCACGCATATATTCCTTAGTCGTCTGCACCAACTCATGATAGATGACCCATTCGGGCTGCCGATTAAACAACGCACTCGACGGATGAATGTAAACCACCTGTGAATCGACCAGAGTGCGATATCCCTCCTGTGGATCCTTTTTGGCCGCATTGCGAAAGAATCCCGAACAGATGGCCTTTTGGATGCGCACCGAATTCTTGCCAGCAGAGACCACATCCAACTTGTGGCGATCCATAATACCGAGCAGCTGTTTACGCACATCCTGCGAACGTTTTAGTGTGCGGATTTGGACAAAGTTCTCATAGCACCAGGCATTGGAAAACTTGTTGTTCTTCCAACTGTTGTAGACGGCCAGCAGCGTCAAATGGTCACCTGGTAATTATACGAGAGGATTTAGATTTGGGATTCCTAAGGGAAGATTACAGATTTCCACTTCAGATTCCTAAGAGGGGATTCCGGATTTCCACTTAGGATTCCTAAGGGGGAATTTCTTATGAAAGGGATTTCTTTTCGACTCACCTTCAGCCTGATTAAACTTGGCCTTCTTTTGATCGGCCAGCGCCTGTTTATCCTTGGGTCTGTAGAACACATTCTGCACACTGAGCATGGAGACGATGGTGAGGATCTCATCGGAGCACTGCAACGCCACAGACATGATCAACATCTTGGAAAGATTCGGTTCGAGGGGAAACTCAGCCATGCGTCGGCCAAGACGCGTCAACAGACCCTCATCATCTAGAGCGGACAGCGAGTGCAGCTGCTCCAGAGCCATGACCAACGATTCCACGGGCGGCGCATCCATGAAATCAAAGTGCAGCAAATCATTGATGCCCATCGTCTTGAGTTGGAGCACTGTTGTCGCCAGATTGGTGCGTTGAATCTCAGGCACCGGTGTGGGCAACATTTCATCGCGATAGGCACGCTCTGTGTAGAGGCGATAGGTCTTGCCTGGTCCAGTGCGTCCGGCACGGCCGGCACGCTGCTTGGCCGCCGCCTGTGAGATGGGTGTGACCACCAGCGAATCCATGCCCGTTTTGGAATTGTATACCTTCTGCTTGACAAAACCCGGATCCACCACATAGAAGATGCCATCGATGGTCAGCGAAGTCTCCGCAATATTTGTAGCTATGACCACTTTACGGCTACCCGCTGGCGCCGGATCAAAGATGCGTGTCTGCATCTCCGATGGCAGCGCCGAGTAAACGGGCAATATAATCAACTCTGGCACATCCGGCCCGAGACTCTTCATGCGCTCGTAGAGTATCTCGCAGGCGGTATCGATTTCCTCCTGACCCGTAAGGAACAATAAAATGTCTCCGGGTGGCTCTCGCAAATGTATCTGCATCACCGTAATCAGTGAGGCATCCAAATAATCCGTTTCCGGCTCTTTGGTGTACAACACCTCGACCGGAAATGTACGTCCGGGTATCGTGAAAATTGGTGCCTCAAAGAAATACTGCGAAAACTTTACCGCATCCAATGTGGCCGAGGTGACAATCAGCTTCAATTCCGGTCGATTTTGTACGGCTGTTTTGAGCAGCCCAAACAAGACATCCGTGTGAATGGTGCGCTCGTGGGCCTCATCCAACATGATGACCGAGTAACACTTCAGCTCTGCCTCCATTAGACACTCGCGCAACAACATGCCATCTGTCATGTATTTGATGACCGTCTCCGGACTGGTGCAATCCTCGAAACGTATCGTATAGCCCACTTCCTGACCCAGGCGACAGCCGTATTCCTCGGCAACGCGTTTCGCCACAGACATGGCGGCCACACGACGTGGCTGGGTGCATCCAATCTTACCCCTCGCCGTAAAACCACATTCACCCAGATATTGGGTAATCTGTGTGGTTTTGCCGGAACCCGTTTCTCCGATGACAATGAGGATTTGATTATCCGTTACGGCTTTGATTAGATCATCTCTCAGCTTGTAGATGGGCAGGGATTGACGCTGCTCCACCAGAGTGAGATCTGTCTTCTTGCCAAAGGAGGATTTCTTGCCGCCAATGACGTGTTTCTTCCACTCTGGCACTTCTTGCGGTGCCGAGCCCATGCCTCGCATATTGGCCGCCAGATGACGCGCACTGTCCTCCTCCGGCAACGGATCGATCCAGTTCTTGTTGAGATTACTGGGTAACGCTTCCATTTCCTGCTCCCGTTGCAGCATCTTCTGTTCACGGCGCTCCTTGGACAACGCCGATTGCATCATGGCCGCCTGAGCCAGCGAACCATCTGGATTCTTGACAATTCGCACCGGAGAGAGATCGTGCAGGGCACGTCCATGACCGGATAGAAATGGTGGCTCCTCCTCCACAATTTCAATCTCAATGTCCGCCTCATCATCCTCATCCTTGGGCAGCAGACCCGTCTCCTCATCGAAATCGGGCATTTCACTTCTGTCCAGCACGCCGGAGCTAATCATCTGTTTGATCTCCCAGCGCTCGGGGCTGGAGATGCGAGTGACACGCTTTCGCGACTCGTGTTCATCCCCATCGATGTTGTTCCCTTGCAGATTGAGGATGGACGAGGTGCTGCTACTAAATGGTCCATCTGGATTGCGATCCCGCAACGCCAACTCATCCTCCTCGGGTGCATGTGACAAGGGATTCAGATCACGGCCCGTCTCCTGATCCACTTCCTTCATGGAGAGCGAAACCTTTTGCCCAGCCAGCGACATGACCTTCACCTTGACTGTCTGATTCCTGGCAACAACTTCGGTGACATCCGTCACTCTGCCCTCGGCACGCAACTGTGAGATGTGCACCAATCCCTCCCAGCGTTTGCGCACACCAAACAGCTGCACAAAGCAACCAAAGGGCACTATGTTCGCCACCTTGCCGGAGTAGATCTTGCCCGCCTCGGGATCATCACTGAGCACAGCTGCAGGCGGCGGCATTTTCTCCAGTTGCTGTCGACTGGGGGATCGGGAGCGGGAACGAGAGCTTCGTCTTCGGCTGCTGCGCTGCTCGTGCCTATCATGACGTTCGCGTGAGTGGGAGCGACGCCGGCGACGTTCACGTTCCCGATCATGATCACGATCACGCTCCTCTCTAGATCTGCTGCGCCGGCGACGACGGTCTCTATCTCTATCGTGCTCTCGCTCCCGCTCACGATTCCTATGCCTCTCGCGACTGCGACTGCGCTCCTTGCGCTTGCTTCGTTCTCTCGAACTAGAACTGGAACTCGCCGGGTGCCGCTTGCTCTCTTTTTCTTTATCTTTTTCCTTTTCCAACAATCGCTCGCTGCGCTCACCTGGAGCTAGCGCCTCCAGTTCCAACATGGCTGCATCTACATCACTCATTTCGTTTATTTTCTGTCCAGTCTTCTCCTCTTCTTCCTGTTCGCCCTTCGCTTTGCTGCTGTATTTGTTGTCATTGGGCAACGCCAGGCCCGGAAACATTTTTATCAACTGCGTTTTCTTGTCGCCGCCGCCTATCAGGCTCCCTTCATCATTATCTGTTTTTGCATTGCTTGGTCGCATTAAATTGATAATGCGCTGCAAGTTTTGCACCAATGAATCGGGAAATTCGGCACCATTTTCCAGCAGGGCTGTGCGAAACGATTCGTAGCTGCGATGTTTGTGCTCCAAGTCGATGATGAATTCGGCAAGATCTTTGTCATTGATGCCCAAATGATTGTCTAGCTCGGTGCAGATTTTGGAGACCAGCGATAGGTACTCCAGTTGTTGCAGCTCTTCCATTTGGTCAAGATAAATTTAACAAACGTTTCGTGCACAAAAAATTAAATAAAACTCGCATGCCAACAAATAGTGTTGGTACGCGTGCAAAAACCAATGCGATAAATTGTAGCTTGCATCAAAACAGCTGTTATTTGATAGTGCTGCAAAGCGCAATTGGTGCATAAGGTGGCAACACTTTCATTACTCTTGACATATTTTGAGCAAGCTATGCTCGCTTTTTAATGTTTTGTATATTGTTTATAAGCTGTTTCAAACGTACGATTTGAGTTCACGTATCACGTTGTTTGCCACACGCTAAGGAAATGTCTTCGTTTTTCGAGTGCTTTAATAATTTCGTGCAAAGCGGTGGACATATAGGACAGAATGTCGTCAAAGAAGATAGTGAACAGCATCAGACAAATAATACTAATTTGCTGCCGGCAACGCCTACGCCAAGCGACAGCGTAAGTAAAGGCCATTTTCGCGAATCTTTTGAAATTTCATTCGATTGCGAATCTTATGCATGTTCTCCAAATAATTGGTGGGAAATTGCTTATTTTGGGAAACTGATTCCAATGCTTGGCGTTGCCAGACCTGCGTTCAGTTACATAGACAGTGTTGTAGATCGGTCTGGCATCGCTAGAGCACACGCCATGTTTTAATTGCAAAGACGCAGGCAGTGATTTTTGTTAAGCTCAACACGAAATACATTAAAATCATAATAAATTTGTGCAAAGAAAAAAATAAAATAAAATTCAAATTTGGCGTGTTGTCTGATAAAGAGACAAGTGTGTGGATATTGGAAAACACCGCCAAGCGAGCGCTGCAACGCAGCCCAAATAAGAAGAAGACAAATCAGCGAGTAACCCAAAAACTATATAAAAAAACCCAACAGTAAAAATAAAATTAAACACAAAAATTAGCAATGCTGCCAGCGAAACAAACGAAAAGCAATAAAAACGAAATTGTTGTGCTGGAGCAAAAACCAAAGATGCAATCGTCCACGACACCAAGTGCCTCGATTATTACATATAGTCCAAGCAAATTTATTGCCAGGGCTGCACCAACAACATACACAAAACTGCGCACACACACAAACACAAACATAACCAGGGCAGCAACAACAACTGCATCTGCAGCTAAAATACCCGCTAATACCTCGTATTATGTGGTTAAAGCTGGTCAGCTTGGGAGCGCCGCTTCCATTTTGAGCTCCCCGCCCAAATTAACTGCAGCAGTGACGCCAGCAGTAACGTCAGCAGCAGCAGCAGCGACTGCAACTATTCCATCAGAGAGCGTAATATAAAGTCCAATTAGCAATTTCTTGCGCACCAAAATCACACCACATCCTCACCATCCGCACTCCTGCTCCCTCCTGTCTCGTTTTATGTATTTCAATTTCTTTCTTTTTTTTCAGTCCAGTACAATTTCGGTGCCCAGCGAAGCATCAATGGAGCACACTTATATGCGCGATGCAGCACGTCCGGACAACAACAACAGCAACACAAACTGCTCGAACACGATAAACAATGGACTGGCACCAGCACGCACCATTCTAGTGCGTCATGCCCCCCAGTGTCCCACCTGTCACACGTATCCGGCGCACGAGGATTTATCCGAATCTCAGCAGTCGCAGGCTCATATACCGCCCTACGACGAGATTGCCGCCAAGGAGATGATGAATGAATGCGCACGCATTGCGAAATATGTGCGCAACAATAATTCAGATGAGCAGGATTGGCAGGAGCGCATCAATCGGTTTGTGTTCACTGAAAAAATAATTGCCCTGTAAATGATCAAGATTTGGCTTTTGAAGGGCATTTTCCATAAATCAACATAAACTAATTTTACTCTCCTATTTTTTTAGTTTTGGTTGGACATACATGCAGGAGACGCTGTTCGATAAAATTGCTGCCATTTTGGATCAGGATCAATTGGCACGGCTGGCGAACGATAAGCGTCAGCACGAGGCAGTGCATCGTCGCGTGTCCGTGGACAAGTCGAGTTCCCGGATGCGTCGCATCTTGGCAAGCATTGCGTGGGAGCCACGCACCACACAGTGGCTGCATGCCCTGCTCATGGAGCACCTGCCGCCCTCGTATATGGCCTCCTATTTGGACATTATGCAGACGCTGAAAAACAAACTCCCAACACTTGTGGACAAAATGCTCTTTGGTCGACCGCTGAATAACAGTCAGGAGTTGCTGGCGCCCGTCATGAAAAAGCGCTGGCAACCTGATATTTTGGCCAAGTCACGTCATTTGGCCCACAATGCCATTATTGTGGCCGTGCCCAATATGCCGACAAGTGGACCGGTGCCGGAACGCATGCAGAATTGGTATCAGGCATTGGCCACCATATCCCAAGTCGTCCAAATCACGCTGCCCAACACAAGTAAGTAGCTGACAAACTGGACAAACGATAAAATTGGGTTTCCAGTTGTGTATATCTATGTCTATATATCTATATCTTTATTCATGTATTATTTAATTGAGTATTCTCACTGGTTATAGATGATCGCATTGGGCGCCAAAATCTGGATCAAGTGGCCGAGACGATTGTGTCGCTGATACGCGTTCGCATCCACGAGTTGCGCACCGAGAATCCCAATCGTGGTATCATATTGATTGGTTTCAATGCCGGCGCTGCGATGGCATTGCAGGTGGCCATGTCGGAGAGTATTGCTTGTGTCATTTGCCTGGGTTTCGCCTTCAATACGTTGCGTGGACCGCGTGGCACACCAGACGATCGTCTGCTGGATATTAAGACACCCATTTTATTTATCATTGGCCAAAACTCCGCGCGCAGCAGCCAAGAGGAAATGGAGGGTTTACGCGAGCGAATGCAATCCGAATCCTCGCTGCTTGTCGTGGGCAGTGCCGACGATGCGTTGCGTGTGCCAAAGAGCAAGCGACGCATCGAAGGCGTCACCCAGGCCATGGTCGACTCCATGGTGGTGGTGGGTATCAATCTTAATCTCATCTATGATTTGTTAGTCATATTTAAGTTCTATTTTTGCAGGATGAAATCTATGAGTTTCTCAGCAAGACACTGAGCAATCCGCCAGGTCCTCGCATGCCCACACCACTGCTGGGCAGCAATTCCTATCAGCGTCAGAGCAACAAGCATCATCAACAGCAGCACGTCCTCGCCGATGGCAATGTGAACAAGGCACCATTGGGGCAAGGACGCAAGCGCAAAGCTGAAGCTGCTGGACAGGATGAGGGCGGCGGCATCGCTGGAGGAGGACTTCTGCCAGCCAAAACTAAATTTGTGCCGCACAGTAAGTTCAAGAAATTGACTAACTTTGAAATGTTGCTAGCCGAAATTATATATTTCATATATTATATATCCAACATCATTAAAAAAATAATTCATACTAATCTCATCAATTATTATTTTTACACATCCCATTTCTGTTGTATTGCAAATCAAAATCAAAAATCCACAATCCCATTTTGCACCAATCAAACAATCAATCAATTAAACGAAATCAAACCAAAAACAGAAGAGCGTATTCCCAAATATCCCAAACCAAAGCGGCCTCGTCTCATTGATCCTTTTGCGGTCAAGCGAAAGGGTAAATCCAAAGCCAGAAAAATGTGCAAGATCGCTTGGTGTTGCTTATTGAATATGCCAGGGACCGTAATGGTTAAAATCTCTTGTGAAAAACAAATAATTATAAATGCAGCGATTAATTTGGCAATAGTACATTGTTTAGTATTTCCCATATAAGTTAAAGTTATAGACATCGCTTATTTATTTGTAATGCACATTTGAAAAATGTTACTATTGATTGTTCGCAACCAAAAAATGTATTTTATAACTCGTTAATTATTGTATATTGTACCTCTTACGGTTCCTGTGCTCCATAAATATGCTGATCATGTTTCCACTCCGATTTCATCGACTAACAGTTTGCATCTCCACAGTTGGTCGCCCGCGAACGCGTCCGCTGCCAGCTGGTGTGGCGCTCGCAGCCAAAACAACTGGATTGAGCAATGAGGAGATGAACATGTCCATTGAATCCATACTGGAGGAATACGATGATAGCCAAACGTTGAACACTGTTGCACCACCCGCTGCTGCTACTCTTGCTGGTGGCAAGGGAGCGCCGCCCGTGCCCGCAACGACTGTTGTCAAGCCAAGTCAGCCGACAACAGTTTCACTGGCGTCGGGCACCAAGATCAAGATGATACCACCCAGTCAATTTGTGCAGCTGAAGAGTCTGCCCAACTCACAGACCAAGCTCGTCAACTACACCATCAGCAAGGCGGGCAACGGTGCAACTATGGCAACAGCTGCTGCCTCAGGTGGCACGACGACTGCGAGCATTGGTAGCATTGTGAAGACACTGCCCACATCCACAACCCACAGTGGCCATCAGGTGTTCACACTCAAAACGCCAACCGGGCAAACGACACAGTTCCAAACTGCTGGCGGTGCAGTTTCAACTCCTGTGGCAGCTGCCCAACAAAAGTATACCGTGATCAAGAATGCCAACGGTTTGACCATGCTGCAAGTGACCAAAAATGTGCCCACAACTAGCAGCAGTGTGGATTACTCGAACATCATTGATATGCCCATTGTATTTGCGGACAACGAGGGCAATATTTCCGAGCAGCAGCAACAACAGCAACAGGAGCAACTTAAAACGGGTAAGTTATAAATATTAATATATTAATTGCCATATAAATATATATAATTTGTCTTGCAGTTACCAGCTCCGCGGCGCCATTAATCATTACTCAGAAGATCATCAAGGATCCCGTCAAGACAAGCAGCAGCGGCGCGAGTATTGTGACTAACAGCAAAGGAATTGTGATCAATAAGAATATACAGCAATTATTAAGCAACAGTGGCAACAAAGTTGTGTATTTAAATCGCAATGCCATGAAAACCGTGACAACAGCAACAGGAGCAGGAGGAGGAGGAGTTGCAACGACAGGACGACTGTCAGGTAGCGTGCCCATACGCATTGTGAGCAGCAGTGCCACCTCAAAGCCAACTACAGTTGCAACAATGACAACAACGACGCCAGCAACAACGAGCAACAGCAGCCAAGTGCTGCTCGAGGCAAGCCATCTGCGTTCGCTCAATTTGCGCACCTTGAAGACACCCGTACTCAATACCACGGGCAGAGGAGGATTACGTGTGGGCAACAAGACAATTTCACAATTTCAAATCATCAATAATACGGCGGCGGGTGGTGCTGCTAGTGGCCCAGCAACAACCACCAGCAAATTATTCTTCAACTCAGGCATGGGCCTGAAACCCTTCTCAATGGTGGCGAATCGTTCGTCATTGGTCTCCTCCAGCAGCAGCACCACCATACCAGCCATGGCTCCAGGGGGTGCAGCAGTGCGTCGTGTTTTAAATATTGGCGCCGTTACAAAGCCAGGAGCAGCAGCAGCCAACACAACAACGATGACAGTCTCCAAGGATTCGAAGATCATGAAGGCGACGACGACGACGCCGGCAGGACTGAGCAAGAGCAAGGAGCCGGAGTAGTCGTCTACTTCAACCCCACTCCACAATCCTCATCTTTCATCTCCTCCCTCCTCTTGTGTTAAACTTACTCAAGTCATCTCTGCAGACATTCAAATGTAGTAGTTGGTCACTGAAATCCTCAAGTTATGCCATAAGTTATACTTAAGATTATTATCTGAGTTGTGTAAATATATATAAAATATATGTTGATCTATAAATACATTTCGTTTTACATGTTTGATGAAATTCTGCGCCATATTGTGCAGATATACAGTTGCGAACAAAATAATAGCACCACCAAGTCAAAAATTGTTTTTTTTATTCGTAGGTAAACTTATCGTATTGGTGCTATTATTTTGGGCCCAACTGTTTATATACATAGTCAATTATATAGCAATCGGAGCAAATTCCTGAGCTGTGCTGAAGTTTACGGTTACTTGGCTCCGCTCTCAGCTGCCATTGGCTGCTTTGCTCTATCGTCGTCAGCGTCGCCGTCGACGTCAGCACAGGAAGCGTTGGCTGATGGCGTGAGAAATCAGCAGCGTTTTGTTCAGCGAATTCCAGGTAAGCAGCAACAACAACAAAAACATTTTTTTTAATTGACAGTTTTTTGAATGCGAATGCGTGAATCGGAATTTAACTGACGACAAAATATACGAAACGAAACGAAGGCCAGAAGCCTTACGTTACGTAAGCAGCGTTTCACACGCTGCACTGGGTCAGTGCTCTTCAAACTGTAGAAGACTGCAGCTAGAAGAGTTTTTGTTGTTGCATTTTATGCTGAGCATTGCTGCTTTTGGTTGTTGTTGGTGTTCTTGTAAGTTATGAGTTGTCTGGGGTATATTGGTTGAGGCATTGGGTATTACACAATTATGCTTGATTTTTGAGTGATAAATCAAACCTCATTTCTTCCTCAATAATTGATTAATATTGATTTTTTAATAAGCATTCAACAACATAGATCGATAGGCAAAATTTTACATTCTGTTTTGGAGCACATCGATTTTATTTTAATGAGATAAATAATAGATCGATCTGCAAAATTATATGTTGTATATTGTTTTAAATTGAAATTAATCTAGGGTATTTGGCGGCGAGCACACCTTCATTTACCCATTTCGAGTGTTGCATGCGGCGCGTCTACAATTTCATTTGTGGTGCATTAAAGCCACAACAACAAGTGCAGCTACAACAATAGCTAATGTCATGGTTGATGTTGCTGTTGTTGTTGTTGTTGTTGTCGAGAAGCACTTTTTGGCCTAATCAGCAAAATTTATTAAGGAGCGAAGGCAAAAACATAAAAAATATAGCAAACTTTAACAAGCCGTTAATGAAATACCCTTTTACAGATAGAAGATAAATTTGTTTATTAATTCAAAATAAGAAAAGAAAATCAAAGTTATAAGTTGGATATAAATAAATTCATATTCACAGATTTTAAGCAGAAGCTCAGAAGCTCAGCCATTATATCTAGTATATATTGAAGAAGAATTTGAAATTGAAGCTGCTATCTCTGTATATAATATGTATATGTCTGGTAGATTCTTGAAGAATGTATCTATTTTTAGATTATTGCATTTGACAACTTCTTGAAGGAAATTTCTATCAATTTTATATATTAGATAGTTTGTTGATGGATATATCTTTTTATTTTATATCTTCTTGAGGGAACTATCCATCTATTAGATATCTTCTTCAATTAGATACATATTGGATATATTAGATATTCTAGAAGAGATAGCTATCGATTATATCTAGTAGACAGCTTCTTCAAGTATATATTTCTCCTATATCCTTTACATACCTTCTTGATGGATATATCTATTCTAGAAGGAGATGTCTATCTATGAGCTATCTTCATTAAAACACCTCACATTCAAATAATAATAAACATTTGGAAGGGTATTATGATCCGGCAACTAAAGACAGACAGCATTTTGTTGAGTCTTTGCCATGTGCTCTCATATAAACATATTTATATATAACTGAACATAAGTACAAACATATATGTGGATATATGTCTGTGATATATTTTATTACACTTGTGTACAGTACCACAATGTGAAGTTATATCTGATATGTATATATATTTCTATACATGTGTATATATATTGTTCAGTTGACATCGACGTCGAGCTGTCTTTGGAAAAGAAATCGCTTCATTAATTCTGAGAGGCGTTTTTAGTAACGCGAAGAAGTTGATCGTGTGTGGAGGTTTCAAGTCAAGGATTTGAGGATAACGCAAAACAAAAGTGTTGATTTAGTTAAAAGTGTTCCTCAACTGATAATAACAATATATACATATAAAACTACTAATCGAAAAAAGACTTCAACAGACTTACGCAATTCGTGAATGAAAACAGTTTCCCAGGCCCCAAATCGAATTTGATTTTTAAATGTCTGTTTTTTCTTGAACTACTGCACTTTTTTTCTTCATAATATTTAGTTTTGATTTTGGTTTTTGGTTTTTGGTTGATTACTTCTTGTTTTGCCACCTGTGGTTTGAGGCGTTTAATTTACGCCAATTTGTTGGCACAGTGGGTTCCCCATTGGGTTCAGTGTTCGGCTTGCCCCGCTTGCCCCACACTTGCCACACTTGCCACACTGCCACAGACTTGCCCCACCCTGCCGCACTTCAATTGCAGCCTCAACTCAAATTTCAACTTGAGACATGTTCGCTATTTTCAAATTAATTCCAAACATAATTTCTGGTTGTTTGATGCAGTTCTCAAAGCATTTGGCAGGCGGGCAACTGATATATGTCTTTAGTCTTTGATTGGCTTCAAGTCTCAATTTTAGTTCGGCTCCAGAGTGATTTGTTAATGGACTCATTTAATCAACTCTTTTGACACACTTGTAAACGGGAAGTGATTATATTGGATAATAATAAGCTTGCTTCTATTGTTTTTATATTGTGTGTTTAAATACAACAGGAGTAATCAAAAAATGAAAAATAATTGGGTATTCCAACTCACAAGTTAGTTAAGCCAAATTAAGCTTAAATTATTTGTCCAGAAATGTTCAAAATATGCACATTCTTTGAGTATTACAAAAGACGGAGCAGAAAACTCAAGCTTTAATTGTTTAAAGTTCAATTAAAGTTTAACTTAAAGTTAATTTAAGATATCAACTTGGCAAAATTCATACATGCATTGTCTTAGACTTCCAAGTACGAGTATAACTCTTTTACATCTAAAGAAGATTTTGAGCTTAGCAGAAATGATAAAAGATGATGATGACCCAAGGAGAACTCCTTAAAAGTATATTAGGAAAAACAAGCTTAGCTTAATTCAAACTACAGAAAGAAAAAGACAGAAAAACTGAGTTTTATATATAATTATTTATATGTATTTAAGACTTTAAACTTGTAAAAAACTTAGGAATTTATTCACATAAAGTTGATTTAAAGTAAAAGTTGCGCTCTCATTTTAAACGCTCTTTTGGCTTGCTAGCGAAAGTGAATTTGCTGATAAGAATGCCAGGACCAAAACAGACTCATTTGTAACTTCCTTCTCCTCCCCCAGCATTCGCCCACACCACCCCATCCCACTTCGCACTTGCCTCCACCCACTCCCAGTGCATCCACCCACTCAGAAATACTCAATCATTGCTGCATTATCAGATGGTCGCCTGGCTGCGAAAGCTGTTCTATTTGCGTTTGCAAAATATTGAGTGTGCCACACACACACACACACACACACACACACACACTATAGTAGGAAAAGTAGATAGTGTAAGGGGGTAAGTTGGGGGAAAATACGCGAAATTGCATCTTTTGTGGGGCATAAAAAATGTAAGTGGCATTTGGGTTTGCCTTGCCCCGCTTTGGTTTTTCACTCTGCCCTCTGTATTTTCACATCATTTGCATTTTATTAAGCAGCGCTCTTAGAGGGGTGAGTGGCAAGGGGGTGGCGAGGGGGGTGTTAAATGCTTGCCACATTTGTAAAACAAACTATCAGCGTTTTTTCACTGCGACTATGCAAAATCAAATGCTGTTTGCGGCAAATGCACCACACTTCCCCATACCATCCTCCCCTTCCCCTCCCCTCCCCTGCCCTGCAACCCACCCTAACCACTGCCCTATATTTTACTTATTGGTATTTGTGGCAAGGATTTGCTAAAGCTGCTGCTTAGTGCTTCTGAGTCCTGCTCGGAAACGTTTTTGAATCGCTTTCAATGGCTCGCTTTAGTTTTTTGAATATTTTCTTTTGGCTGGCTGCAAACAAAATCGAAAACAAAATCGGGAAAATGTAATGAAAAAGCGTTCCGGGAATTGGCCACTACCTCGCAGTCACGTGATGCCACAAGGCGGGCACGCCGTGCAACATCCTCTCTTCGTTTACACATCTCCTCTTGAGAGGATTGCGTCGTTCCGCCTTGAATTTCATATTTCATGTGATGTGACGTAGTGGAACATTCCTGACGTTTCCCACAACAAGAACAACAACAACACAGCTGCAACACCAACTTAAACAACAACAACATTTTCCAGTTGCCAGCAGTTAATCTGGACGAGAGAGAAGCAAAAACGGTCAGAAAAAAGGCAGCTTGTCAAGTGTCGGCGCATCGCTCAAAGTGAAAAATAAAAATAAAAACGGTTGGAAGGATGGAAGTTGCTTGTGGTACAGTTTTACAAGCACCATAAGTAACTGAGCACACTTTAAGTATTCTTAAATCAATCTAATTATATTTGCTCTTTGAATATTTGTCCACTTTAAGCAATTAATTAAAAAGCAATCCAATTTTTAGTAAATAACATTTATCAATTTTAACATTTGTTTGCTTTCACCAATCTATATGCTAAAGTTTGACAAGCACTCCACGCCATCGAGCAACCGTTAAGTATTTAAAACTCAATTTAAGTATTTATTTAAATATTCGTTGTTCGAAATAATACAGCTTTTAAGCGTTGTTAAGTTTTTAAATTCCAATCAAACAATTTTTTATTTTAATACTATTTTAATACACTTCAAGTAATCGATTATATCTAACCTAATAATAGATGAAATATAAAGCTTTAGTCTACAAAGGACCCATTTCAAGCGATGCACAAGTTTGCTAGAAGCGTTCAGATTGTTGATGATATTCACTGATGATACTTTAAAGTCATTCAAATTATTTTTACTATTTTTCTAAATTTGTTTTAATATTTTTAGAGAGAGAGAGAAATTTGGTTCATCGTCTCCTCAGGTCTGCAGTAATTTTGCGGACCACTGGTCA